CTTGATGAAGCCACATCTGCTTTGGATTCCGAGTCCGAACACGTTGTGCAAGCTGCTCTGGACAAGGCCGCCAAGGGTCGCACGACAATTGCCGTGGCTCACCGTCTTAGCACAATCCAGAAGGCGGACGTTATCTACGTGTTCAACCAGGGCCGCATTGTCGAAGCTGGCACTCACCCTGAGCTGATGAAGAAGAACGGTCGCTATGCTGAGCTAGTCAACCTCCAGAGCTTGGCCAAGAACAACTAAATCTGATTTTGGTTTCTTACCTTTCTGGTTGATGGGGGGTTTTCCCCACCCAGTTTCGAATTATTATTATTATTTGCGCATGAGATATCCTGGCAGCAAACACAAAGCTGACCTTATCCATCTATTGGCGTTTGATTGGTGATTTTATAGACAAAGAAAGAGGAATGACAGCAGCCTTAGAAATAGTCTTCAGGATCTGATGGAGTGGAAGAAGAGGGAAACGTTTTTATCCCCTTTCCGGATTTTTTCTTGTTTTTTTGAGCAAAAAAGTGTATTTAATCGCATGTCATCAACAAGTCTGAGTGATGTATTATCCCAGGACTTGACGCATACTCTTCTCTCTTCTACATTTGTACTTGCTTTTGCCTTCTTTTTTTTCTTTCTTTCATGATGACAAAGGGGGGTTTCCAGAAGCATCATATCTGTTTGCTGGCCTCCCCCCTTTCTTCAAGACGCTTTATTTACGCAATGCTACGGCGACGGAGTGCATGAGATAAGACGAGGGCCCGAACATCTAGCCGTCAAACATGCAGATTTCTGTATGATATGGCTTGGAGGCCTGTGGTTATGAATGAATAAAGAATACTTATCATATACAATTTCCTAACTTTCTGTTTGAACGTGATTTGTGTGTAGTAGACTCGTAGATTTCACTTCTCTCCCTATTGATAAACTTCATGCATATATAACCCCCGTACACTGCCCAATTAAACTCAATCTTGCCTATTTCAACTGATCTTGTTATCATATCCGACAGAATTGAATTGCGCAGTGGACGTATCAGACCGTGGCGAGGCAGCGAAAGCGTAGCTAATAATTTCTTTTTGTTGCGGGTTTAGGTACTGTTGGCGGAAGCGTGAGTTTGAACAGAGAAGTGAACATGTTATGATGAATAACTGATTACTGTGTGGGGTTTCCACCTTTGAGTCGACACGATGAACTAAATGAGTATGCCGCTGAACACAGCTTCTGAGCAGAAAAGCGGCATTGTTTGTTTGCCTTGAGCTTTAATTGGTGGGCATGTACCATGCGTTTTACTGCTTGGTTGATGGTAGCCTTTGTCGATAAACCAACAGTGAACGATGGAAGCACCGTCGTTTGAACTGACCAGCGTAGATGTGGGTATTCTGCTCCCAATATATAATACTGGTCGACGGCGACATCGATTGCCTGCCTCTTTTGTACAGTGCTCTTGATGAAGATAAACACCACCTAGATATTCCGAATCTTAAAACTGGGTAAATAATTTCTTAACAGGACTTATCTAGCAGACTTTGTTGGATGCTCGTCCGACTGCAGCCACTTTTTATAAGCGTACCGTTCTTTTCCGTTCAAACGAGGCGATCTAAAGATGAAGAGACTGACAGTAACTAGAGCAATGCCGCCCTACAATATTTCAAAGAAGAGAAGGAGGCAGAGCGCTGGGGGAGACTATGACTATGAAGAAATTACCGTTGAAGAAGTACGCAAAAAAGTGGTTGTGAAAGAGAGTTTTGTGAAGGATGGTCAGAAGGGCCATTCAGCACGCTCTGATATTCGTCATCTACGCTCTACGCCACGTAGATTGTCACCTCGACATGGAGTTCCGCCAAAAAAGGAGATTGACAAGGCTGTTTCAAAGGCTTGCCGTGCTCTGAAGGAATCCATCTGCTCTTACTCCGACACCGATTCTTGCTCTTCGGATAACTGCTCGGACACATCATGTACCGAGAGCGATGATAGCGGTGATGTGCCGGATGAAGAAACCAGGCGCTGCATACGGGGACATTGTTCCGAGAATCTGAAGCAGGTACCTCCTCATGCCAATGCTTATACGGGTGGGCTTCTAGATCGCGGCCATGTATCTGCGCCGCCGAATCTGGATGCAACGTGGACTATGACGAGCCACGAACGTTCCACGAGTCACGAACGCTCCTCTCGTACTCGTGAATCTGCAGCAAAATATAGGAACAAGATGACTGAAGAATGTTGGTGTTACTGTTCAGAATCTGAATCCGAGTGCGAGTCTAGGCGCAAGAGCCCGCCTCGCTGTGTTTGGTGTTTCGCTAAGGAGTATAATTAAGGGGCCTCGTGATGTATGAGAGACTGAGAAAAAAAAAAGGATGCTCGCGTACAGGCTGGAATACATTGAAGCGGAACTTGGCTTTTTGTTTGAGAGCTAGATTGAGGCGAAGAGGAATGACGTTGATTGTAGTGAAAACGAGTGGTTTGATAAGAAAACAGAAACAGCGTGTCCAAAAGTAGAGTCTTTTTTTCTTTTGAAGCAGATTATTTGGAATACTTATAAGACATACCTTTGGGAGTATTTTGGATGGCTGTTGGATGATGGTAATTGGGTGTTGGCACAGCGAGTCACGTTTTGATGTAATAAATTGACATTTCATACCACAAGAAAAGGAATTTGTTTTAATGTTGCGAATGAAAGAAGTTTGTTTGTTCCTTACTCTCGTTCTCATCATATCATCTCCAATTGATGACGCTCTACTAGCTCTACATTGAATTTTCTGTAATGCTTGTCTCAGTAACTCTCCGTCTCCTTATCAATCAGATTCTTGGCGCTACTACTGTCTCTCAAGGCTGTCACAATGTCTAATAGGTATTGTTAAAGATTTCTGCCCTTCCTTGACATTATCAGATACTTTCAGCTTAGAAAACGCATGCTCGCCTCACAGTGACACAGAGCTACTCATTCGTCACAGCCTCACGGGCCTAGTTCCAGAATCGTAACTCCTAAGATGAGGATGCATGGGTATTATTTGGTCTAGGCGACACAAAAATGAGGAGGGTACTTTTTATCGTTCAGAGCAGAAGCCATCAAAGTGGTCAGAGAGTCGAAGGGCTACCAGGCTGCCCAGTTCTCCACTGTATTGGAGCATTTTGCATTTTGATGGCGTGGAGCATCTCATGGCTTGGAGGGCCTGAAAGATTGAAAGATGCTGATACTGAGAGACGGGGACATGTGACGTGTGTAAGTGGTGAGAACTGCAAGAAGGGGTTACACAGCTGACCCGGCGAGCTGGTCATTCTCCGTATTACCTATTGTAGTGCATGTATAAGTCAATTTTGAGGTATGAGCGTAGTGTTTCGACTGACTCCATCAACGTTGGGATGTCATGTTCAGTGTCAAACACACAAAGACAGATAGGTGTATGTGCTGTTCATCTCTTTATACAACCGCTTAGACTCTACGTTGGTAGATGTGAAAGACGAAGAAGCGACGCACCGTCTACGGCAGCCTCAGTAGACATCAAATTAGCTGGCCAGGCGAATACATTGGATGCGAGGGATATGTAAAGGTACTAGCAATCCATACGCATGTGTGCCGGTATTAGTGATCTTTTCAGCCGCGGCTGAGAAAGCAAACAACCAGATTCTAGCGGGGATGGCCTTGGCACCAGCTCTACTCAGACCGTTTCCTGGCTGACTACAGTATGTGGTCTTTCCGCGAGTAATAAACGGCAATGCTACAGTAGTAATGCATAAGACATCGACTGCACATTATTTGTATTGATGGTATAAGCCATCGAGCTCGTGGCACTATCCGCCCGACACGCCCGTTGCCGTGAATCCGAGCGAATGAGTGCGTGAGCCGAGACGGGTGGCACCAACAAGGGATGCCGAAATTTGAAATTGCCATTTGGATGTGCTCAAAAAAGAGAAAAAGGAAATGAACAAGCCAAAAACACAGCACAGCACAGCACAGCACAGCACAGCACAGTACAACAAACACAGGGACAGACGTGGCTTGTTCAGGTGGCAGGGCACAGCTGCCGCATGTGCATTGATTGGCTTCAGTCCTTGCTTGCGCACTTACACGTACGAGACACATCGCCCGTGGGAAAGCAAAAAAACAAACAAATAACAAAATCAAAGTCTAAGACATGCAGCATCCAGTGTGGCCAGCTTATTCTTCCTCTCATTTCCTTCTTGTTCGTAACAGAGTGTGTTTCGGCCAACTTATTATTAGTACAAGTACTACTTGCTAGCTGGCGCCCAGCCAGCAAAGAGGCCCTTGCGGATTTTTGTGGCTTTTTTTCCGTTTCCCTTCTCACTTGCTTGCCTCGGACAAGCTTCTTGTCAATATTACCACTGTATTACCACACCCTTTCCGACGAGTATTTTCTTGGCTTGCCCTTTTTTGCCTTTTTACTTGTTTTTGGCCATAAAGCTTGAGCAGTTTGGTTTGTTAGGCCGATGGTCCCTTTTCTACCCTCCATACTACTTTGGCTTCTTTATATAAGCCGGTTTGCCCTTGTCCCATCATTCAGTGTTGAGTTGCTGCAACAAGTACTTATAAAGCGTGTGAGAGTGAGAGTGAGAGTGAGAGTGAGAGTGAGATTGAGAGAGAGTGACATGTCGAGATGCGAGGCCCCAACGCTGGTGATTGACCGTTGATTGCACTACCAAAAAAGCCGGCATAATCCTCCCATTTGTTGCTGCTGCTGCAGCAGCTGCGGATGCCTACGGGACGGGGACTGCCTGCAGCTGCTTTCTTGTCTTGACTCGTCGTTATCTGGATTCCCCTCTTCCGCTTCTGCTTCTGCTTCTGCTTCTGCTTCTGCTTCTGCTTCCGCTTCTTCTTCCTCTTCCTCTTCTTCCTCTGCTTGTGATTTCAGCCAGACGACGCGAATCTCCCGTCCATCAATCGGCTCCAGCTCAGGCCCCCGCTCGGGCTCGGCTGCGGCCTCGACCTCAACCCGCCGATGGCGTTTGACATGCAGCAGTTTGCCAGGCGAGAGTCGATGCTTGCCATGGCCGTCAATCTGCCAGCGCCTCTGTCTTCATCGCCGCCATCTTCAGCGCCTTCAGCACCCTCAGCACCAGGTCCGGCAGCTCCTTCGCCGCTGCAACGCCGCCGTCTGCCACCGCCGCACCCATGGCCAGCTCCGTCGTCTTCGCTTCAACTCCCTGCTTCTTCCACTCTGGCTTTCTATTCTGACATTGCTTCTGCTTCTACTTCTACTTTCAGTCCTGCTGCTACTTCTGCTACCGTCTCTGTCTCGGCTTCAACGGCTCCAGCCTCAGCCGTCTCCAATAACATCACCACCACCACCACCTATACTGATAGCATTTTACCTACTACGCCAGTCCGGGGACAAACTCGTCTGCCTTCGTTTGCTGCTGTTACTGCTGCTGCTGCTGCCGCCGCCGCCGCTGCCGCTGCTGATTCATCTTCTACTCCTTCACCTCTCTGGCCGCCTCTCTCCCCGCTGGATTCCTCGCCATCCTCTGCCTCCATCTCATCGTCCTCCTACACGCTCTCCCACCCGGTTCTGCCGCCGCTGCCCATCAACCTACCGCAGGAGAGCTCTCCAACGTACCTGCCCTGGACCTCGATCCACCACCATTTCCCCGGGCTGGATCCTCTGGTCTCGCTCTCAGCTCCTCTCAACACCAACACCACCATCAGTAGCAGCAGCGAGAATAACTACAGCAGCAACTCCAACGCCAGCAACACCAGCAGCGACGCCGACAGCAGCGACGCCCCCGCCCACTTCAGCACGCCGTCCTTCAACCACTTCCCGGCCCTGGTCGGATCGCAGCCCTTGCCCTTCTGGCCTGCCTACGACAACTCCATCAGCCTGCCGTCGACGTGGAATGAGTCTGCTCACGCCCTCACCTTCGACCGCCTCGACCGCTTTGGCGTTTCCACAGCCATCAACCAGGCTGTCATAATCGCCGCTGGCACGCCCCTCCCTCCATTATCGCCCAGCCTTCCATTATCACCTGATCTCGAGTTACCATTGCCGTTTGCTCCCCAGCCCAGGACCGACGAGGCTTTCCTGCTGCAGGATTTTGACATACACTCCGACATCGACGCTGAGTTTGGCGACCGCCTACGCGCCGACAACCTGCGTGCTCGGGCTCGGGCTCTAGCCTCGACTCTGGCGACTTTTTCGGCGACGTCGGCTTCAGCTCCCGCTCCCACTGCTCAGCGGCCTGCAGCGCCCCGCCAGCGCCACCACCGCGCTATCCAGAATCAGGCGTCGCCACCAGCCCTCCTGGACGGCTTCGCTCTCCCTCGAACCGTCACCGGCGCCTCCAACGGCATCTTCGACGAGCCTGAGGACATCCCGAACTTTCCTTTTCCATTCCCCTTCGCCGACGCGGCGCTTCCGCCTCTCTCCTCCTCATCCGCCAGCATGCCCGCAGCATCCACGGCGCGGCGACGATCGCGGAGACAGACCATCACGTCCGAAACCTTCGACGACCCGACTTCCACTTCCGCGTCCACTTCGCCCTCAATAGGCGCCGCGCATGGGAACAAGCGCCAGAGGATCGTGCCTCTTGGTGCCGACGCGAACCAGCACATCATAGACGACGATGGCGACTCCCTGTTTGGCGACTCCAAGTCTCTGCCGGTCGAAGACTACACCACGATTGATCTCACCGAGGCCACTGATGTCCCCGAAGAGCTTAAAAAGCCCAAAGTGGATAATAGAACTAAGCTATCTGGCTTTCAATGCGTCATATGCATGGACGATGTGACGGGATTGACGCTCACTCATTGTGGTAGGTCTACTCTTCGATTTTTTTCTCCTCTATCCTCTTTTTCGAGTCTGCATTTCACGCTCCCGTCTCTTAACCCAACCGTCACGCAGTCTGCTCACATCTATTTTGTCTTGTTATCTAGGTCACCTATTCTGCGCGCAGTGCCTCCACTCCTCGCTCAACATCGATTCAACCAGAGGCAAATGCCCCATGTGCCGATCCAAAATCGACATGAAGCCTCGCGAAACTTACACCACCAAGACGAAAGGCTACTGGCCCCTCGAGCTAAAACTTATGACGAGATCGCGCCAAGGCAAGCGAAAAGCTCAGGCCATGGCATAATTATTACGCTCTTTCACGACCGGGGTTTTTTTTTTTTTTGTGCTTTTTTGAGAGGGGGCTCTTAACGGGTATTCCACCAATAACAACAGTAACGCCTCCGCAGAAGCTACCAAAAGCTACCAATCGTAAATTGGCTCATCTATATATGCCCACTGGCATAAACCATCAACTTTTGAAAGGGCATCACTTTCAGCGGTACATTCAGGAATGGGGCGCAAGCATATATACCATAGTGTTTTTTTCATCTAACTTTTTCTCCCGTGAACATCCTCTCTCATGGTGTTCTTATTCTTATTCTTTCTTCACGGTAACACAAATAGATGTTTTATTCAAGCTGCAACATATGGGACGGACGGCGTTGCGATGATGCATTCGGGCTTTCCCCTATTGCCGCTCTGTACATACCTCACTGCCATAAAAGGGAGGGAAAAATGAAAGTATTGAAAAGAAACAAAGGTTATAGCACAGCTGGTGACTTGTTATTTGCCCTAGAAGTGATTTTGGTGCCTGTTTCGTTAAATAAGTCGAACAGCTCCAAGACTGAGAATCAATATACGGCCATTACGTTACATTGTCTGCAGCTACCAGTTCGCCTTTGGCTAACCATGTCCTACAACGTGTACTTTTGGAAAAAAGAATCTATATCATCTTTCAGATAAAAGGCAGTTTGCTCTCTCTACCTACTACCCTCTTCCTTGTTGCGTCCTCCCGTGATTCTTGTATGCTTCTCAGTATATGTGTTCTGTACAATTCCCTTCCTCGCAAACGCCTGTTATTTTCTGCTGTCTCTGTCTCTCTCTCTCATTCAAGACAGGAAAGAAAAGAAAGCTGAACCAACAAAGATAAAATAAGAACCTTAGATGGAAACCCAAAAAAAAGCATGTTTGCCATTATTTGTGCCCTACATGTTCTAAAACCGTATTATAAAAACATCATTATAGAAACATCCCTTCGTCTCTGTCTCGTATCTCTCTCTCGCCTAGTGGAAGAAGGCATGTTCATGCGGCTTCGGCTCTGGTAGGATATCATTTTCAAACTATACGAGAGAACTGGTTAGCTTGCCCAATCTCACAAAATAGACGCAAAAGTTATCGTGACGTACCTCTAAAAAGTTTGTTGCAGCAATGACAACCACCAGGGCATCTGCGAGTTCCTCAATCTTCTCCTCCAAGCGCTGGCCTTCATTGCCCGTACCAATGCCGGCGCTGCGCTTCAAAGCGTGGCTCACGAGCATGCGGTGGTCGGTAAGGAACTTGCGTCCCTGGGTCACATTGTTGTTGCCGCGGCTTAGGATGGCTGCGCCAATGATGCGGATAACCTTGGCCAGCAGATCGTAATGCTGCTCCAGGGCACGAGGGTTTGCAGCGTCGATTTGCAGCTCAGGGTCGGCAGCAAAGAGACCGGAGTTCTCGAGGGAGCGAAAGAGGTTGCCGTGAAGAATGTACTTGGCACCGATGCGAGATTGAGCCAGCTGGAGAATAATGGCGAGACGGGCGTTTTGGAAGTTTTGTTGGTCGGTGTTGTCTAGAAATGACAAAAGGTTAGTATCAGAATTCATTAGGTAGTTTATAAAGATTGAATGAGAAAAACGTACTGGACGCAAAGACATCGTGCCATTCTTGCATAATGTTTCGCAGCGAGTCAATCAGGATACCGATGAAATTGAGCTTGTTCAGTGCTTCGACGACATAGCTCTTTCGTTCCTGGCTATCCATGTGAACCAAGGCGCCCAGGAAGATCAGGGCAGACGTCTGGCATGCCGGCTCTCCGCAATACGCATCATCGCAGACAACGTTGATTAGTCGCTCACCATATACCTGCACAGTCTTAAACGTCTTCGGACGGCTAGCAGCCAATGGTCCATGATCCTCGGACATTCCAGCCAGATAGCGGTAGCAGACCTCGTAGTAGACTGATCTCAATGCGGGTGAGCCTGCCCACTTGCCGATGGCCTGGAGACAGGTCTGGAAGAGCTGGTACAGCTTGTCGCTAACCAAATTACCGATGGCTCTGCTGTTCTTGTCTTCAGTCGTGAGAGGTGAAAGGTCCAGCTTAAATAGCAACACCCTCGCTAGTTTGGCTAGCTCCAGAGCCTCGTTCGGACGGTCTGCGGCAAAAATCTCCAAGCTTGGCAAAATGGCTTGCAAGGCTTGGAGGAAGAATGATGTCTGCGCAGCGCCCTTGTAATCGCAGGATTCTACCATGACAAGCAGCACCTTGATCCAGGATCGTAAGACTCGGAGACAATGTGACCCAATTTGCTTCTGCCTATCGCAGGAGATGAGATACTCCATTATTGATACCTCTTCTCTTTCGATGAGCGCCATATCGTTGACCGCGATGACGGTCCCCTGTTGGGCTTCGCCTCTCTTCAGCAAGAGAATCTCCCGAACGCGATCTATATTGTAAATCTGGTTGGCGTCGGCGTCCTTCTCCAAGCAGCTAGTAAGATCCAAATCTTTGTAAAATTGAATTGACGGAGGAGGAATCTCCCAAAACCCATCTGGCAGGAGAAAGTCAAACAAATCAAATACAGTGGGAGTCTGGATCGTCTCGTTGTTCTCTACCACAATTTGGCCGTTGAGAGCATTGAAAATGCGTCTCTTAACGCCGGGCATGCGTGATTGAGCAATCTTGCAGAGTTCCATAGCAATATACTCCAAGCTCATACTTCGCAGCGTCAGAAACTCGACCAGTGTTACGGCTCCGTCAGACATTGGGAATTGTGGATTTCCAACATTATGGCCTTCCCACAGGAGATCCGGCTGAATAACCGTCTCGCGCGTAAGAAGATGGAAGAGCAATTCATTCTCACGAAGCTCTCGGATGGCAATTCTTGATGATAGTGGTGAAGTCCAGAGGATATTCAAGATGCGCATCACGCGAGATTTGATGGCAATTAGCCATTGTCTCATGCCAAGAGCATCGCTGGACGGAGATTCTAACAAGAGCCCCAATATACTGTGGAACAGCGAGGTACGAGACGCAAACGCACTGTTTACTTCTACCGAAACCGAATCCAGTCCACATTTGAAACCAAGTAGCAAATGTGCAATGGTCGGCTCCTTTGGCGTCGTTCGAAGACATTGGTATAGGAAATCCAGAATATAGAGCTTTGTTATGTAGAGAGGCGATTCTGCCCCGCTGCCTGCCTCAAGAGGCGCCATTACTTCGGCGATGAAAGCTCGTGATATGGCTTCGTGCTCTCCGTTCGCTTCCATAGCAACAATTGCCTTGTTCCGATGGGCACGGCGACTACTTCCAGACCAAGCAGCTGTAATCTTGGACGATGATGACATCTTCTCCAGCAACTTCAAGCATGCCAGAGTCAGGTCAGGGTGGCCTATGCCGCAGTATTTTCCTAGGTCAACGACTAGATTTAATCTGGTCACCAGTCCATCTTGGAATGAGGCGTACGCGGCATTTGCAACAGGTTGCCTACGTGGGCCCGACTGGTTCTTAATCAGTGGCCGGACAAGGTCAAGATAGGTTGTTTCGAGGTCAATGACCTTGGATATGACCTCGACAGCACGCAGCACGCCCAAAATAAGCGGTGAGTCTGGTGTAGCGTTTCCAATGTCGGTAGACTTTTGATGGATGGTATTGAATAGGGCCGTCATAACCTTATCATTGAACATCCACTCCATCACTCGTGCGAAAGGATGCATCCTGACGTAGGTCGCTAAATCGGTTGTTGAGACCAAAGAGTCGATGGCAATGTTTGTCTCGTTTGCTAAAACCAGCAGATCTTCATTGAATGACGTTAGACAGGCAAGAATAAACTCCAAACAACTAAGACGTAGCACTCTTGTCTGATGAACATCCTGAAGGTCTTGAACCTTGGATGAAAAAACAAGGCCAATAACGAAATCGATATAAACCTCAATGCCGGGTGCTCGGGAACTGGCGCCCAGATTTTCAGGGAACGGTAGGCCATCGTTCAGCGGGCTAGAGTCGCTTGCTGGGGTGACGAGTTCCAGTAACAGCTTGATAAAAGAGTCAGGATCCTCGAAGCCATTACTCATTTCGTCAAAGATACGGTCCATTGATACCACTGGTGTTGGCTGTTGTGATCGCATTGAACCTGCGGCGGCTGCACCAACAACATACCCCCCTGAGATCCAATTCTCCAAACACCTCCACATTGCATGGTTCTCTTGAAGGCTCTTGCGGCTCACTAGAGCCTTCAAAGCCAAAAAAACGCAGCCTCGCAGCTGAGAAGGTATGGGGCTGCTGGCCAATTCGAATAGCATATCGACAAGATTATAGCCCGAATTTAGCAGCAGAAAGTGCCTCGTAACCTCGCTTTCGCTCGCCAGTTTAGTGATAAGTCGTAGATAGCATTCAAGCATCATAGAGGACTCAGGTTCGGTTTCTATGACATCAGCAGCAGGCTTCCCACCCCGAAATCTTACTGATTGCGTTGGTGCCGGCTTCTGTTTTATCTTTTCTGAGAAGAAGTCAAGCTCTTTGAATATTTGAGTCCAGGTCAGGGACTGTGTCCTTCTCATCTTTCCGGATGAATGGTGACCTTCATCTAAAAGAAACTCATGTGCAGCGGTTGCACATTCGTCGTTCACGGAGATGGCTTGAAGCATCTCGCAAAAGGCTGCGACTAGGGGTGTCGAAGCTCTTCTAGAAGCCCAATGCATGAATCCAGCGAGATTGCTGTCTGGATCTTGCCAAAAGTTTGTAGACGCTTCGGGTCTTCCTTCGTAGGCGTATGCGATGATGAGTAGGAATCTCTCCAAATCCAAGTCTTGCTCATGTGTCTGGCTGAGCTGGCGTTGCTCATCTTCTTCCACTCTGAGTTTCCGGAGAACATCAGGTAAGTTGGTTATGAAAGCATCGACAAAAACCTCCAGCTGTGACATGAAACATAGCTGGAAGAAGCTTGAAAACTGGGTTCGTTCGGAGACTAGAGGTGATGATTTCCTTTGTAGCCATTTGCGCATACCAGCCCGGACAGAGTCATGCCAGTCTGGGGATCGAATGTCTCCAGCTACCGAGAGCATGAAATCAAACGCGCCATCTTTGAGAGAATCTATGAACTGCTTTGACCTCTGACGATCCTCTAAAATTGAATTAGCCAAGTTCAAGTCAAGCAGCCGGTACAAAGCTCATACCTTCGTCCAAATCAGTACCTGGTGGTATAGCAGACTCGGGAGGATCATCCAGGTACCATCCACTGTATTCTGCAAGCCACCACGCACGAACTGTTGCGTGCAAAAAGGGAAGCGGCCAAGTCGAGTCGTCTGCCGGAGGGAAGATTTTTCTGTTAATCTCTCTGCCCTGCCTTAGGTCGTAGCCTCCCTCAGAAGATGCGAAAACAGACATATAGGCACCGATTGCCGGGACATAATGAACTAGAAGTTAAAATCGATTTGCGTTAGCCAGATCCCCATCCTTAACTGCAAACCTGTCAATATTTACCTAAGAGCGTGTCATATTTATCCCATCTCTTCAATACGGAGATAAATTCTAGGAAATCTGGTGTTTCGGCTTGTCCTTTATCGATACATTCGCACAAGATGACGCCCAGAGCCTCATGCTGCTGAACCAGGCTCACGCGAGAAAATTCCACGGTTTCCAGTTCCTCTGGTAGCTCATCTGTAGGCGCGTTGCCTAGGGTCTGAGCAGCTGTTATTTTTTCTCCTAGCTTTTGTAGCCACAACTTGATTTCCGCCATCGCGCGTAGACATCTCGGCGCAAGTCGCTTCGAGGCGTCGGAGGTTCTTCGTAGTACACGGGTATCGACATAGACCTTGATGGTCTCTAACGCGTTCGACTCTTCTTCATCAGAATCCATATTGTTCAGTTCCAAAAACAGCCTGAACGAGTCCAACACGTATTTCCGTTGTTGGTGGAATCGAATCACGGCACATTCGAGGAGCGATCGTCCCAGCACGGAGACATCCTCCTGAGAATCGAGGAGGTATCTGACAGCGTCCAGCTCGTCCAGGTCGATTTCGTCTGATATGGCAAAAACATCTTGTTGGAATCTGTCGTTCAATGAATACTCGTTGCCGTCAATTGAAACCTTGCCTATATGTTGTAAGCTATTGTCGTTCCTTTCGCGTGGTCCGTGGTTGATGCATCATACCGCTCTTCACCGCGCCGCGGCTCTTTTCATTCTTCTTCGGGCGCTCCCACAGCCTCTCCAGCTCTTTCTCAAAGATTTCGAAAAGAAGTTCATTGCTCAAGTTGTCAGAGCTGCTGCCACCACCGCTGCTCAGCGTCAACAGCTCGCGGTGGAGGGCCTGGAGGGCATCTAATGTCGTAATCTCGGCCATTTTGGCAATCGCAAGCTATCGCATATTGGAATTAGAATACGTCACTATAAGGGGAGCCGCCCAGAAGCTGCCAACGCGTAAATCGGTGCGCGGCCGTAAGAAAACGGCAGTGTTGGTGGATTGGAGCTTCTGGATTGTTACGATTTTGGCAGATTTGAGCCTTGTCTTGGGCAGTTTGGGCAGGCGGTGAAGATTTTGCCGCGATGCAGCTCGCAGCCCGTTCAAGTAAATAAAGCTAGCCAGGGCGCCTTAGAACTGCAGGCCACTCTAGGCAGTAGTGGGCCATTTCAACATGGGGAGCCAAAGAGTTGCCAGAGTGAATTATTTCTGTTAATCGAGCATAAAAAGTTGTCTTCTCTCATGTACAAGAGTTTTGTTTTTCCCGTTCTGTTTTCAAGAAAGATCTTTTTTTCTCGTTGAAGGCTCATATCGCGACCACTCGTTCGTCACCGTGGACTTCTGTTTCTACCTATAAATGAGCTTTTGTCGCGACGCGAATCAAAGTCCATCTTATATGTCTTTGTATTTAATACGCATCAACTAGAGTCCCAGTTAGCATCATTTACTGGATCTTAGACGTAGCGACTCGAGTTTCGCAATGGCCTCCCATGGGGAGAGCGTCATGGACTTGGCGAGTGCGCTTATCCTACCAAATCATACCTATATGAAGCTTGCTAATTGTTACTGCAGGAAAGGTGAGGTCAGGCACGAACATCAAAGAACAGGCAAAATCTGTAGATAGTATGTTCATACTTCTATCCATCTCCATTTCATCACTGGTATTGACAGCTATCTCCAGGCTTGGCCCAGCTCTTAAATCCTCGGAACACATCTACGAACCTGTATGGCACGCCTCTCCGTATTAACACCCTTTGATGGCGCTAACAGTCTGTCCAGCTCTGACTTGGGAGATAAAAGCTATCACGAGATATTTGAAGCCATATTCGCCTTCGTACTCAAGGATAAGCCTACTTACTATGATAAGAAAAAATCACAAGCGACAGCCGCAACTCGATTGTCGAAATGCGCCGTCGCGGTTCGGATGGCGGCAAGTCGCGGCGCCTCCAAGATAGGACGGAAGACGCTGCTCGCTGCCGTAGACCACATCACCCAAACCTTGCCTGGCCCTGGCAATGACTTTGTACGGCCACTGCTCCACGATTATGTCAAGGCCCTGACGGAACTCATATCTCGGCCAGTCAACGCCGAGCTCTTGGCCAGAAAGAGTGCAGAAACGTGGCAGGACTGCGTTGACTTGTTTCTAGACGTTGCTCTCGACATTCTCCCAAATGAGACAAACACAGCTTCATTGCCTCACGCAGCCAGGTCTTCTCCCGCACCAACTTCCTCCTCATCTCGATCTTTGCCTCGGTCAAATTCATCCTTGCAAGCCCAACGCCAGAATGTACCAGGAGAAGGAGGTCCATTGAAGGATGTTCTTGAAGGTCTCTTCTGCCTAGTTTCGGCAGCCAATGCTCCTATCCTTCAACGAATGAAGGATATTACCGACCTTGCCCTGAGAGTACTGAGTATCAAGCATCTCAGCTTGGGTTCTACGCAAACGCTTTGCTTCTCGATTATCAACACTGTCTTTCGCGCAATTGAAGCCGATCATCTAGACGACGCAATCACGTTGACAAAGAATGTTTTGGCCCATATGGGCTATTGGTGGCGCCCAGAAAAAGTCTCTCAGGATGAACTCATCAAAGGCTTAAGAAATGAGATATTACGGGGCATAGTTCTCATGCATCTACATTTTGAGCATATCGTTGTCAACCTTGGAGATCAAGTCGTACGCGGTGAGCTGGAGAATCTGGTAGACCCTTTGTGGCAAGAGTATTCCAGGCGAGGCGAAGCATTCCGTCTACAGCTCAGTGATTTAACCTTTGGTCCCTCAGCTTCAGAAGGACAAGTTATGCAACTTGGACTATTGAGACTTCGGCCTCATAACATTGAAGGGGAGAGCCATTGGGCTATTGTACAAAACCTCGCTTACTTGGAGGCTATTTTACTGCGTTCTAAAAAAGATGTCACGGAGCAGGATGTGGACAATGGAGAGCAACCTCGTAAGAGGAGACGAATCCAGCAAGATCTAAATCCGATCAGAGCCAAACTTAAATTAGAAGACGCTGGCGTTGTTCGAACTGCCTTGCAGCTAGTGCCATTCATGCTGGCGACCAATACTTTGAGTCATAGCGAGGTCGAAGAGCTTCTCGGAGACCTTGCTCACTTTACTGGAGGCAAAAACACCGACACAGCGTCTTGGGCTCTGATTGCTTGTGCTAGGTAATATGAACGATTTGAACCGCTGCTCACTTTTACTCTGTACTAACATTATATAGCTGTGCACTATGGTCCAAAGAGTGTCGACTCCAACAGGACACATGGAAGCAAATCTGGCATTCGGCTGCCCGGTCAATCAGCCTTCCGGCGACGAGTCGCGCTGCGTGCCTTTTGATACATTGCGTGATCGAAACTGACATACTGCCATATCATCATCTAGCAGATGACATCAACAACATTATCACAACAGCTGATATCAATGGACCAGGCGTCATATGTGACACATCTCTTGCGTTAATGTCACATTTATATCACCTTCGTAACTCCAGGCTGCCGAGTGCTAGTCAGAGTACATCCAGCTACATTATCAGATGGGTTTTTTTGCGATGGAATCCGAGTACGTTGAAATGCCGAAACGGTATGTGATATAAACTAACCAACGAATGCTAGGCGAGTTGACATATTCATCCTTTCAATCTGCTCATGTACGGCCCATTGATCTCGTTAATCTTTTATACATGTGCTGCGGAGCCCAATCTTTCGGCACGGTTTGCCAAGATATTACCTCTGGTGGCCTGCTAGGTGAGGCATGGATATCGCAGCGAGAGATTGGAGAGTTCAACGAATACCTCCTCTTGCTAGGGCATGAGACAGCCGATATCATCTCACACGAGTGTTGCTATCTATCATACAAGGAAGCCTTGCCTCTCACGGCGGATGCTAGCATCTTCTTTACATTGAAGAAGCTCGTCTTAGAACTTCTTTATCCCAAACTCGAAGATCTTAGGGAGTTGTCCATCTCCTGGAGCAAAAGAGCAAGCGATGGTGGGAGCCAAATCTCAGCTAATAGGTTTCAAAGCCTCATATCTGCGTGTATAATAGGAACGCTGCTGGTGCCCCATATCAACGATCTCAATTCTACTCAGTCGTCTTCTATCGAAGCGCTCTTGGTGGATTTAGCCGAGAGAGCTCTTTCAGCTGCACTGAGCTCAGTCGAGCCTACAACCTTCGTTGGCTTGACTCTGAAAGAGCTGAGATCATGCATACCCGAAATTAGCACCGCAAGTTTGAGCCAGCTGTTTGGAAAGCACCCTGGCATCCTCAATCTTCTTTCCAAGATTTCTAACATCATTGAACAGCGAGAATCAAGTCAGCGGTCAGGAGATCACTCAGACTTCATGGACGTAGATGATGATTTCGATACTTCCAACAGTCAAGCTATGTCTTCATCAAACACTTACTCAGTGCCAAGGCATAATGCCCAACTCAGCCTAAATCCACAAGCGTTTTACATTGATACGCGACTGCGGCTCGTTCTCTTAAGGCTCATCCAGCAGGATGAGAGTCAACTGGGCTTATTGCCCGATTTATTTGTTGACGATCTTCTAGCACGATCTGATGATGAGATCCTCTCCTGCCAGCGTCTCTTGATAGAGATTATTAGATCTGACCTTGTCATTTCTACGGAAGCATCATTGGCAATTGTCGAGAGGCTTGGGAGAATAGTAGGGAATCCGGAGTTCCAGTCATGCGAAGTCGCCCTAACCACCTGTCTTGAAGTTATCGATGGCCTCAGCAACGTCTGGCTCCAAGATAACCAAACCTTGTCAGATATGGTTGGCGATCTCTATGTTCATTTTGTCAACGCCTGCTTTCCTTCTAACATTCTCTCACCAAAGACTCAAATGTCACTTGCTCGTTTATTATTCACTCTGCTACGGATTGACCCAGAGTATGGAACAAAGCTGAAGCTTTCCTCGTGCCGAACCTCTCTACTCTTAATAATGAACAAGGGTTCAATGAAAGTCAAATGTTTTATTGCAGAGAGGATAGCAGGTATATTCGAGCTCTATATCTTGATGCTTCACGAAGACGTTTTTGTGGATGTTCTGGAAAATCTCCCGAGGGATAGTGAGAATAAGGCGGGCATTGCTTTCCGCCTATTCGTATTATCCAAGATAGCTTGCAGCTGGCCCACCCTCCTGAGAAGATGCGTCTATCATATATTTGAAACCCCAGGCAATATATCTCAATCAACAGACTATACCAAACGATGTTTATCGGATATCTCCATTGTTCTGAACCTCGAAACGCCGGCGGATCTCTTCCAGTTATTTTCTCGCCAACTTCTATATACTTGGCTAGAAGGCAATACAGTGGAAAGCATTCCTTATTCGATCTTCGGATATACTAGCCTTGGAGAGCTGTTGAAATCTGCACAAGGGGAAGCGATTGGGCTAGCAACAATGCGAGGACAGGATGCTGCAAGCGCAGAAATAGCTCGCCTGGTTGGCATGCCTGAAAGCCAACTTATCCAACAAAATTTTGCAACCTCGTTAGCATACGGCTTATTGGAATCACTGCAGGCAAGCCAAGAGAAGACAAAGGGGGGAGAGAAGACCAAAGCGGAAGATAACGCGAGAGGAGAAGATCGCATTAAGGGAAAGCTAGGTTCCAAAGTCTTTATCGATGCAGCCTATACGCACTTCATCGATATTGTTGCACTTTTCTTTGATCTCATTGACCAAGAAGACTCTATCGAAAAGATCTTCTCAAGACAGGCGCACCTCAAGTATGCAGGAGAAAACATGGCAGCGATCAAGGCAATTGCACATTCTCCAGCTAACCTTCCGCCAAATCAGCAACCCATGTTCAAAGCGAAATTCGTGTTCAACGAACTTGTCCGTCTTTGTCAAAGCACTGAGTTCCAGTTTCAGGACCTCTGGACGCCAGCCGTCGTATCTGCGATTACCCGAAAGCTATTCAATACAGTTCACCCAGCACTAGGCTCTCTTCATGCATGCTCTGTTCTTCGCAAAGTGAGAATACTAGTGTGCTTAGCCGGATCTGTCGCTTGGGATTCATACTGTTTAGAAATGCTATTGACGTCCATTCGGAACTTCATTGTGGACTCTGAATGCGCAGATGATGCCCTGGGCATTAGCCAGTACTTACTTTCCCGAGGGAAACTATACTTAGCCCAAGTTCCCTCGTTCCTTGCTGGCTATTCTCTGTCGACTTTAGCATCGCTTAGAGTCTTCCTCGAATCCAGTCAGTCGAGTACTACACAAGAAGACCAGTTCAAGGCTACCATGAGTAAAGCGCAAAAGTTTCACGAGTGGTTTAGTCAGTATCTAGCAGAGTATACCTCTCCGAGATTCGAAAGCCAACCACAAAATGACTTATTCAAATCCATCACCATGTCTGCAGCTCATATACGGTCTTCTGGTAATGCGGAGAAAAACACGTCAGAGAGTAAGCTACTTCTGGATATCCTTAACGATGAGATAGCCGGAAGCCGGCTCCTCAATGAGTCTTCGAGACAGCTTGCCCTTGGTCTCCTGTGTGGCGATTTCATGATCCCGACGCATCTAAGAAATGATGTTTTGGAAAATGACCAGCATGCAATTAATCATGCTTCAGCTGTGTGGAAAAGCTGTGGAGCTCAAAATCTCAGCGAAAATTACTTGGCCTGGGCAGGACGAGTTGTTGGTCGTTCATTTCTAGCGTCCGGAAGCATTCCTGACGATATACTGCGAGAGTCACGACTCGACCAGTATGAGAAGATAGCACCGGGGCCTCATGGATCCGAAATGGGACTCTTACATCTCCTACAAGATCTTACGACGAATCCAGACTCTATCACTGCAGGATTGGCTGAAGCCACATTGCGAACTGCAATATCGCGAGCAGTTGTGGAAGACGATGGTCCGCTCGTCACAGCGGGCCAGCGAAGTCTGTCCGAGCCGCTTTTCCTTGCATCACAATGGGGATTATACAGGACTCCCCCTTCGGAAATGACTCCGACAGACGGCGACCAGTTCTCGTGGGCTGAAGATATCACATCGAAAAGCTGGTTACCTCGATTGAGTGCATATCTTGCACATTCAGTACCAAGTTCAATCCTCCTCTCAGTGCTGTCATCGGGTCTCCTGAATATCAAGGGTTTCGCTGAGAAATCTTTTCCTTTCATCGTTCACTTAGTGCTCTATTTTCAGTTAGAGCAGCAACAGGCGACTAAGAAGCTACTCTCGAACGCTATGAAACAATGGCTTGTGTCAACTGACCAAACAGCTAAAGAGAATATCAAGCTATTGATTAACACTATTCTCTATCTCAGGACCCAAGAATACCCTAAGGAGTCATCCATAGTAGATCGACTGCATTGGTTGGATATAGACTACGCTTTAGCAGCGTCGTCCGCAACTCGATGTGGGATGCACAAAACAGCTCTTCTTTTTGCTGAGATTGCCGCCTCGGAAACGTCACGCGCATCTCGAAGAACTTCTGTTGCCAAAGAGGCCGATATGAATGAAACTCTTTTGGCAATCTTTGAGAATATCGATGATCCAGATGCGTACTATGGCTTAGCGGAGGAAGCAAGCCTATCCAGCGTCCTGTCTCGTTTGGAATACGAGCAAGCTGGCACGAAGAACTTGGCTTTTCGAGGCGCTCAGTACGATAGTCACATTCGACTACAACAGAACACATCAGAATCGGACGCTCATGTACTCGTTAAGACATTGGGCACGCTAGGTTTGGCCGGTCTATCTCATTCTCTAATGCAGACACAGCAGAATCTCGGTTCGACTGCGACCTCCATAGAAAGTACATTTCAAACTGCCCGAAGACTTGAAATATGGAACCTTCCTGTGCCGGCTGCAAGCGACCATCATGCTGTTGTCACTTACAAAGCATACCAGACTATGCAACAGGCAACAAGCCTGGTGGCAGTCCGAGCGGCAATATACGACGGCTTTGCTCGCACAATGAAGAGTCTGGTTGGCCACAGTCGCAATGCAACGGCATTACGAAGCCGCCTTGGAGCTTTGGCAGCACTTTCTGAGTTGGACGAGACCTTGAATATTACAGACTTGGCTGAACTGGAGGGTCATATGAGTCAATTTCAGGGGCGCAGCCAATGGATGAAGAGCGGCTTGTAAGTCTTTCCCCTTTTTCTCTCCAGAAGCAAAAGTTACGACTACTAACTCGCATACAGATACGACGATGTCAGCCAAATCCTCTCTTGTCGAGGCACAACAATGAGCTTGTTCAGCCAGCGTGCATTATCTCTAGGATATGCCACATTTCCTACAGCAGCTATTAGGCAAACAGAAATCAAGTCAATGCTCCTCGCTTCCAGCATTTACAGATATCACCAAGCCACACAAGAATCATTGAATATCTCGACAGCTCTGAATGACCTTATCAAGCCGTGCGAAGCATTGGGTATTCACGTTGACGTTGCTGTTACGATCGAAGTGGCAAACTCATTATGGGACCATGGAGAAATGAGTTCATCGATTAAAATGCTTCAGGGCGCTGACAACGTTGCAGCACTTAAGAAGCAAGCGATACCTGTGAGCCGGTCTGACCTCCTTTCGAAAATTGGCCATCGAATGTCTGTTGCGCGCCTGGAGAAACCCCGAGATATACAAAAGAAATACCTCGAGCCAGCGCTCAAAGATCTTAGAGGTAGCGTTGAAGCAAAAGGAGCGGGTCTGGTATTCCATCAATTCGCTGTGTTTTGCGACGAGCAGCTTCAAGACCAAGATAGCTTGGAGGATCTCAAACGATTACAAAGCCTAAAGAAGGGCAAAAGTGACGAGGTCGAAGACCTTAAACTACTTATCTCATCTACTAAAGATTCACAACTTAGAGCCAAATACACCCACGTTCTTTCAAAAGAAAAGCAGTGGCTCGATCTCGATGAACAGGAGCTGCGCCGTGTTGAAACAACGCGGAATGAATTCGTCCGCCTAAGTCTAGAAAACTATCTGCTCTCACTCGCCTCTTCAGATGAGCACAACAACGATGCCTTGCGATTCACAGCACTCTGGCTTGAAAGATCAGACGACGATACGACTAGCAGAGCGGTTGGAGCCCATCTTGCCAAAGTACCGACTGCCAAATTTGCAGGACTCATGAGCCAACTCACATCGCGGCTGCAAAGCCAAGATTTGACATTTCAACAGCTCCTCGCAGATTTGGTTTACAATATCTGCGTCGATCATCCGTACCATGGCATGTATCATATCTGGTCTAGTACCAAGGCGAGAGTGCAGCAGAAGGATGAAGTGGCGGCCCTCCGCGCGAAGGCCAACGAGAAGATTGCGCAAAGGCTTGCAACCACAGATGCTGTTGCTGATGTGTGGCTCTCGATTGAGAAAACGAGCAAATACTATCATGGCCTTGCTCTAGATAGAGACCCTGCAAAGTACAAGTCGGGAGCAAAGGTGGCGTTGAAAGATTCCACGGCAGCCAAGAATTTGGTGACGTGCCTGACCAAATTTCGCATTCCTCCGCCGACAATGCATATCGAGGTCAGTGCGAACAGGGATTATTCGGCAGTACCCATGATCTCGAGGCTTGAGCCGACAATGACAATCGCTTCCGGAGTGAGTGCACCGAAAATCATCACTGCTATTGGAACAGATGGTATGAAATATAAGCAGCTGGTAAAGGGCGGCCAAGATGATCTTCGCCAAGATGCCATCATGGAGCAAGTTTTCGCGGCTGTCTCATCACTGCTGAAGCTTCATAGAGCCACCCGACAGAGGAATCTAGGCATTCGAACATACAAGGTGCTTCCGCTCACGGCCTCTTCTGGGCTGATCGAGTTTGTCCGCGATACAATTCCCCTACACGAATTTCTCATGCCAGCACATGAACGGTATAATCCTCGTGATCTTAAGGGCACTCAGTGCAGAAAAGAGATATTCAACGTTCAGAATAGAACGGTGGAGCAGCGCATTAGCACTTACAGGAAAGTCACTGAAAGATTTCAACCTGTTATGCGATACTTCTTCATGGAGTACTTTGTCGATCCTGACGAGTGGTTCGCAAGAAGGCTAGCATACACGCGAAGTACAGCAGCTATATCGATGCTTGGTCATGTACTAGGTCTGGGTGACCGTCATGGCCACAATATTCTTCTAGACACCAAAACCGGAGAGGCTGTCCATATCGATCTGGGTATCGCGTTTGAGACAGGCAGGATCTTGCCTGTGCCAGAGCTTGTTCCATTCCGCCTTACCAGAGATATCGTGGATGGCATGGGAATAGCAAAGACTGAGGGCGTGTTCCGTCGCTGCTGCGAATTTACCCTTGACGCTCTTCGAGAAGAACAGTATTCAATCATGACGATATTGGATGTGTTGCGGTACGATCCTCTGTATAGCTGGTCGGTCTCGCCGGTGCGGTTAGCCAAGCTACAGAAAGCTCGTCAGGATGGCGACGGAGCGATTGACGACGCGGTTCAAGCGGACGTAGATCCAAAGAAGGGGAAGAATCCTGCAGGACGTCTGAATGAGCCGTCTGAAGGTGATCGAGCCTTGGAGGTTGTGAGGAAGAAGCTTTCAAAGACGTTGAGCGTGACGGCCATGGTCAACGATCTTATCAATCAAGCGACAGACGAGCGAAACCTTGCAGTATTGTATTCCGGTACGTATAGCTGAACATTTCCGTGCTATCTATAGCTTTGCCTAGATCTCATACTAACTTTGAATTGTAGGATGGGCGGCATATGCGTAAATGACGGGACATGTATATTTTAATATGAGTGGGAGCGGGGGCTGGCTATTGACAATTGCAAGTTACTACTAGTGGCGGTGAGGTTATAAATTTTGGAGAAGGGTCAGATTGTACAAGATTAGATGTGCGATATACTGGCAGAGTTACATGAGGAGGCATCTTGTTGTAAATGGCACGTACAGATTGTTACATCTCAACTTAATTCATGAGGTTCTATAGATGAAGATAGCCACACATATAACCAAAGGTTAGAGACCAAATTGAGTGATGATATTATATCAGCCGCACAATAGAAAAAGAAGAACAAACAAATAAATGAAATTCATGAATCAATACCTGTTCTACGACTATTTCGATTCTGCGTTGATCATAACCTGAGAACTCCATAAGAGCACATGCCGCTTATTAATGCTGAAACCTGCAGCGCTGCAAGAGGCCCGCTATGGCGCGTCGTAGGCGCTAAACGCGCCCCGGAAACAGCTGCTAATCAAATTTCCTTATCGCGGGGAGTGTCCTCCATCCGCCCATCCATCATGACATAATAATAGCCACTTCAACCTCGATCCAAAACCCGCAAAGTCCAGTCCCACTCCCGATTATTCGATATCCCCCCGGCCATTACTACTAGTATTACGCATCTAGCTGCTAGCAAAGACCTCGACCTGCTCCTAGCACCGACATCGTGCCACTGTGCCTCTGTGCCACCAAGCTCGGCCCGTATCACCGAGCCATCGACAGACCACACAGCGGGTTCGATTGCTCATCGGCGTTCATGCAACCAGCGACAGTCGACCCGCCTTCTTCCTCTCGCCGCCGCCCTCGCGTGTCCTCGTCCTCGTCGCCCACGTCGTCACCATCAGCAGCTAAGAGGCCTCGGTTCTCCGACAGCTTGGCCATGGCTAGCGTTTCAGCGAGGGTCAAGATGCCCGACATTGTCGACCTGACGAAGCGTCAGTCGGCATATCAGCCTTTGAGTGGAGCGCGCAAGCTGGTCATCAAGAACGTGCGCAGTCCCGTCCACCAGGAAGCCCGGATTAAAGAGTACTATGCGCGGACGGAGCGGGAGCTCGACGGAGCACTGGACGCAATCTTCAACAGCCGGACTCCGGCCATTCCGCTTGAGCGTCTCTACCGAGGCGTCGAAGACATGTGCCGAAAGGGAAATGCCGATACAGTGTACAGGACGCTCAAGGACAAGGTGGACGGCCATCTGAAGAATGTGGTTCTCCCCAAGATTCAGAGCGCAGCCAGGATATCTGCTCTTGATGTTCTGAGGAGCACGCTAGCAGAATGGAAGACGTGGAATGCTCAGACGGTATGGCCCTTTCCCTTATGGAGACGTGAACTTCGCAAAATAAACAGTATTGCTTACACATTTGATTTCAGATCCTCGTCAGATCGACCTTTAGCTATCTGGACCGCACATATCTGCTCCTCAAGTCTTTACCATCAATAAACGACATGGCTATTACGAGATTCTGCCGAATGGCCTTTTCGTCGCAAAATGTAGAGTCTAGCCCAAACATTGGTGCATTTCTTATTTCCGCAATATGCGAGTTGATCAACTTTGATCGTCGGGGAGACAATCGGAAAGATTCTGAGCTGCTCAAAGACTCTATCATGATGCTTTATGTGTTGGGAGTATACACAAAATATTTCGAGCCCGTATACCTACAGCAATCCGAAGCATACTTTAGAGAATTTGGAGAAACTTGCAGCCCACTGAGCCTGAAAGAGTACATAGAAGCCTGTGAGCGGCTCCTGGAGCGTGAGGATTACCGATGCATGGCGTACAACTTGGACAGTACAACAGAGAGGCAGTCAATGTCATTGGCGCATAGTATCCTCATCGATAAATACTCGGATAAGCTCCTTCATGGAGGAAGTTTGTCAAATCTGTTAACTGATCGGGATGTAAGGTCTCTGAAGGGATTATATGACCTTCTCCGGTTATCAGGAATACAAAAGAAGCTAAAGACACCGTGGAGCGACTATATTCGAGAAACGGGGGCTTCAATAGTGTCCGACAAGACCAGAGGCGACGAGATGGTGATTCGCCTCTTGGATCTCCGGCGAGCGCTGGATCTGACCATTCGCGATGCATTCAGCAAAGACGAAGATTTCCTCTGGGGAATGCGCGAGTCATTTGGTAAGTTCATGAATGACCGCAAGATTGCCGATTGCTGGTCTTCAGGCACATCGAAGATTGGCGAGATGACAGCGAAGCACATCGATATGCTACTTCGTGGTGGCATAAGAGCCCTTCCTAAGGAGCTTCTGTCCGATGTCAAGGATCGAGCTGCGGCAGAGAAAGCGGGACATGCCAGCAGTGCAGATGAAGACGCTGAATTGGACAGGCAGCTGGATCAAGCTCTCGAACTTTTCCGATTTATCGAGGGCAAGGACGCCTTTGAGGCCTTTTACAAGAAAGACTTGGCTCGTCGACTTCTCATGGGTCGCAGTGCTAGTCAAGATGCTGAACGGAATATGCTCACCAAGTTGCGAGGAGAGTGCGGCTCCAACTTCACCCACAACCTGGAGCAGATGTTCAAAGACCAAGAGCTCGCCAAAGATGAGATGGAGGCTTACAAGGAGTGGTGCGAGGGCAACCCTGACCGCACCGGCAAAGTGGATCTGCAAGTAATGATTCTTTCAGCTGCTGCATGGCCGACATATCCCGACGTTAGGTTAAATCTGCCTGATGAGGTGGCCAAACGCACTGAGCAGTTCGAAAGACACTACAAAAACAAGCACACTGGCCGAGTATTGACATGGAAGCACTCACTCGCGCACTGTTCTGTAAAGGCAACCTTCCCTAAGGGGGCAAAGGAGCTCTTGGTGTCCGCATTCCAGGCTGCTGTGCTTTTGCTCTTTAACGATGTCGCAGCAGATGGATTCCTGGCGTATGAGCAAATCTCGGCCGCCACCGGCCTCCAGGGGGGTGATTTGGACCGAACACTTCAGTCACTAGCATGCGGAAAGGCGCGTGTACTGACAAAGCATCCAAAGGGTCGGGATGTGAATCCCACAGACACATTTACTTTTAACAAGGCCTTTACCGACCCCAAGTATCGTGTCAAGATCAACCAGATTCAGTTGAAGGAAACCAAGGAAGAAAACAAGGCTACACACGAAAAGATTGCCCAAGACAGGCGCTTCGAGACTCAAGCAGCGATTGTGCGCATCATGAAGAGCCGCAAGACAATGGGCCACGCCGAACTGGTGGCCGAAGTCATCAATTTGACCAAGAAGAGAGGCAGCGTCGAGCCAGCCGCTATTAAGAAGGAGATTGAGAGGTAAGAACGAAAAAGCACAATAAACTAAAGATAATCAGACAAGCTAACTGCTGCAATAGTCTCATTGAGAAGGATTACATTGAAAGAGAGGAAAACTCTTACACTTACTTGGCATAAGAACTACAGTCGAGTTGTCCAGACGCCCGTTTGGTTAGAGGCATTGTTTTTGGCACTGATAGAAGAGGGCTAATGGACCAGATGGGACACCATGGGTGACAGCGTCGTCACATCGTTACAAACCTGGATTCAGCGAGAGCTCCTGTAGGCATATAATTTTTTACGATTCTATGACGATCCCATGATCTAGCTTCCGCTGGCTATTGCTGACTTGTATTACCTTGGGACCTATTTTGTACAATCTCTGTTGTACCTTTGCGGAAAATAAATTTTGGGCATTCCTAATGCGAGGCGGCCTCTTGATAACTAGAAGCAAGATAACTAGATGAAGCGAAACACGACTGTGTGACAAAATCCTTCTGCACGTTGATCTCAACGACGCCACAGGTGCCCTCGACATGGCGGTGAGGCATGAACCAAGTGGTGTTATCTCGGAACATGTTAAGCTTTTTGTCAAACTCCGGGAGAAAGCCTTTGAGGCGTTCCCCTTGGGCTAAACCTTGATACAGTAAAGAAGATCGGTCAGTCAACGAAATTAGGAGGAAGGCAGCCAGAGGCGCAAGGCACAAGGGAATTCTAGTTGAGTTGTTCTAGTCATACGTATCACCGCGGACGTCAAAGACGGGAGGGTTTACTAGGCTACCGTCCAGCTGACGACTGCATCTTGTCGCTACTCCCGGGGTTATATCTGCGATGCTCGGATTTCCAAACGCTGGCGTGGTACAAGTATTGCTCTGAGTCTACTAAGTTTATACACCGCTCAGTTGGAGGATAGCTCTATGTGGCGCGTAACACAGTAGACAGCTATGTCTTGGGTTCTCGTTTGAGGTTGTACGAAAACACAAGGTTTTGGCTGTCTTTTGATATTCAACCTTGAGCTACTACGCCTTGCAGTGATAAGGAGACCTGTTGTTGGTATGCAATGGCCATTGTGAGAAAGGGCTGTGTCTCTCGTAGACAGTTGGTCTCTTTCTAAGCCTTGCTTCTGGCGCAAATTCCTGAGATTTCTGATTATAGGGAGTCACGAGATGAGCCTTTTCGAACAGTAAAGCCTCCGCTATTCCAATGAGAAGAGGCAGCCAGCACGTTCCACGAGGTAATCTGAGGACTTGGGGCTCTTACGTGGCAGTTTCATGCTTCTTACTTTGTATGCGAATAGTCGACATTCACATGCTTGGTTCAATAGCAATAGCGCAGAATGAGGCGGCTAGTTGCATCTTGAGCTAGCGAACAGCAAGGCGTCCAAGGTCAGCCACCGTATACCTTTTTTCTTTCACCGACAATCATTTCCTTTATGTGATACGAGGCATCGCCCATCGTGCTCCCAATAACATACGTGGCGTCGGAAACGTGGTGGATGGCAAGCCTTGCACTAGACATATGTATGCGAAACGCAAACATCTCCTTGAAGAGCTGTACTGGGAGCCTCCACAGTAACGTGTTTTATTTGTGAATTAAGGTCTCGAATGAGTGTATGTGTAAAGTATTAGTAGTATCTGCCAGATGCGTAATTACTGCTGCGGATGCACGACCTTTCCTCCCTGCAGGGCGAGGAGGGTCTCAAACCAGATCCGTCTTGCTCACCGAAATCTCACAGTTGCCTAATTGAGCAACCGCGGGGATACGTACCTCGACGACACCAAACAATGCGTGTAAGTGACGGGTATGAGCTTCGCCTCACTTGTACACGAAGCTGCTACAGCTATACGCTTTCCACATGTGCTCCAAGACAACAATTACTGTATTCGCCTCACGTTTTCGCAGATGATTTGATTTCAGCGTGTGTGTGTGGTATGAGAAAGATGTAGGTTCGTAGAATAGGTATAAATATCTGTTTGCTTTCCCTTGTCCAGCTCTGAGTCAAGCTCTTCATCAAGTCACCACCAATTCTATCTTCCAAACCAGTTCAAACATGGCTGCTCCTTGGCGTCCCAGAGCTGTTCAGCCTCGCCGCTTTGAAACACGCCTGCCCTCCTCTTTTCAGCCAGCAGCCGCTAATCTCCAGGATGAGAGCATCACTGAAGCAGAGGCTCGCAAGCGCCTTTCGTCATATGTTGCTGTTCGCATTGACAAGTCATTGTCTGTCATCGACGACGAAGGCAACCTCAGACCTTCGACTTGGGACAAAGCCTCGCACATGGTCTTAAGAGACATATCTCAACAAGAGGCGAAGCATAACGTACGTGAGCTCAATCGAGAGACTGTCTGCGTATCGGACAAGAAGAGTGAGTTTTCATCGGCCCTGCAACGGCAGCTGGAGCGTGCGCACACTAGACTGGACAATATGGAATCGGATCGTCGCTATATCTATATACTTGTCCAGCTAGATTGGAAGTTTAAGAAAGTCCAAACTCCAACAGAGTACCACGGAAGATATGACAAGCACGGCAACAAATTTAAGAAGAGGGACAAAGAATGGCATAGATCGAAGTCCAGGAAGGAACGAGTGTCGGTGACGGCATACTTTAAGAGAGAACCATCCAGCAATGCAAACTGCGTCAAGATGTATGGTCGCCAGCAAGGAGACAAGACAGGAGATGAAAGTCCACTCGGCTCATCTAGAATGGAGCGCCAGCATACTTCTGGATCACAGAATTCCAGAAGTTCAGCCACATCCTTCAGCTCTTTCTCCAGCAGCGATTCTTATGGCAATATAACACCAAACTCTTCTGTTGACGACATATCTCCCCACCGCCACTATGACGAAGGACGAGGGCGAAGTAGATACCGCCAAAGCAGGGACGGGGAGCCCTTCGAGACTCTGGTAGCTCACCAAGGGCCACGACGTGATTCAGTGGACAGCCATGACTACATCCCTCCTCCAGTGCCTGATCCTACCAGACCAGAGCCCAAGCCCGCAATGGACTCCCTGAGGCGCAGGGATCAGAGAGCATTTGACGAATATATGGCAAGATCCAGGTCTGTGAGGGACTCGTCACGCCAATCTCGTCTTACTCAAAGCCCTCTTGAGAAGCAAAGAGACTATCTCCACCATGTCTCATACTACTCATCGAGTGGTGGAGAAGTAGCACAGCTGGGAGATAGACTCAGTCGTGCATCGCTGGCAGATGAGCCAGGAAGCGATTTTCGAGAGCCGGCTTCTGACCATGTAACTCATTGCACATACAGACAGCCTATGATACAATATCACGGCGATGGTGATGAAGAGCTAAGAGTATCAGAACCCAGGGGTGCTGTCTGGCGCAAGCAAGATGCGCAGCGATATATGGATAACAGACGGCGTTTTGATCAGGATCCGTGGGATCTGGGCCGCGGTAGTCCATTGCTGTATTCAGTGTACGGATGATACAGCGCAATGATTCTGTCTTCTTTTGTTTTTCAAGCTTTCTTCTAGATAAGATGTCTGTTTTGTTTTGTTCTGTTTGAAGGCAGGTAGTCACAGATGGGTCTTTTGCTTCACAGCCAGTTACGTTCTACTAATTATGTAATGTTGGATCTTGAGCTATCAACGCGAAGAAAATGTGGTCGTTGAAGATTTTATCATGTTTCCATATCATACAGCAAAATTCTAGCTAATGAGGAATTATATTTTATGCATCTCTTGATATTGGCTTGTGTCTTGTTCATATTGAAATTTTATTCAAGCATAGTCCGTACCTAAGACACTCTTTCTCGCGGCGTAGTCATGTAGTCATGTATAACTTTCGTGCGTTCCAAGTTTCTATGTTTATATCGATAACAAGTGATAAATACAAAGAATCCTCTATTCTCACTTGGGGACTTTTGTCGTCCAAAGTCACGCTGCAGGTTAGGTGCTGCTTCTAGAGCTTTGCGTATATCGATACCTCTTCTGCTACCGTCTACGAGTACGCCATTATTGACATTATGTTATGATATCTTTTTCATTGTTAGATGACGTATGGGATGTTGTCAAAGACGAGTAATAAATACACTGTCATTAACAGTGGCGCAGCGATCCTCCTTCATGCCAAACCTTCCGCCTAGAAGATTCAATAGTAGTAAATACAGTATTCTACCGGAGTGTCTCACGTAACCTAGACCAAGGCAAAAGGCGTGAAATTGCTGGTAATACCACGATAATCTTTATAATGATATATCGAGGGCCTTCAAATATGTCAACTCTATTAAAATTTAGTATTATTTATCGAAAGTCTCCATGTTGTCTATGCGAATTGATGATGTATATGGGAAATTCGGCATGTGGTCTCTTTTACTTTAGTATTTGTCTAGTCGTCCCGAGACAGCCTCAAATGTACAGCCTTGGATATCCTATTGGCTTCTCGTTGCTAGTAACTCCCAAGCTTCTTACCTCCTATTAGTAGTAAGTAAAGGTACCTCTGCATTTCCATTCTGCTCAAAGCTCTGGAAGGTTGCTATTGAGCAAAGCGCATGCAATCAGCTGCTCCTAACCTACAAGACAACAACGTTGATGACTAAGCAATTTCTGCAACTGTCAAAATATTTTAGCGCGCCTCCAGCACAAGCTTGCATGGATACGCGATTTACTTAGCGGGCAGCTTCTCACGCGTTGATTGATTGCACGTCCCACAGCCTGGGGGACGCGCCTCCGTTCAAAGTTAGCAGCATCTCGATCGGTACCGCAGAGCCTGGCCTGGGATGTGATGGTGCATTTCCAGGTACTCGCCATAGCTGTGCGGCACTGCGATTCTCCCAGGGTTCCCCCCTCTCCAGGCGTCTGTTTATGAAGGCCAGCTTCTGGAGCCGCCCAGCTCGATCCTCGCCGACCTCGCAGAACATCCTTGGCCAGCTTGCCTATGCCCACTGGACGCCTCGCAATTCGTCTCTCGCAGCGGCCGACTCGATGTTTGTCAAGGCTAACAAGGCGTTCAAGGCCAGCGACCCCCCCGGTCGCAATGCCCTGTCCAAGCAGCTGTTCCCGTCCAGCAGCCCGAGTGCGTCGCCCGTGACGACCGATATTCGAGACCAGCTTAAGAAGGCCGGCACGGGCTCGGCTCTCAGCAGCGCTTCCGCATCGTCGGCGAGGATGACACCGTTTTCGAAACCTCTGCAGCAGCAGCAGCCAATGGCCAGCTCCAGTGGTAGTGCCGCGGGCTCGCTGGCATCTCTGTACGGCAAATCAGACCCGTTCAAGGCCAGTCCTGAGACTATTGACCTTACTGGACCCGAAAGCAACGAAAAGACAAAACAGCATGTCTACTTCGGGGAAGACGACTTTAGCGATGATGAAGACCTCGATCTCGACTTTAAGGCGCCGTCGGCGCTTCCCAAACTCCCAGACCCAAAGCCTCCAATTGTAGAAGAGGACGATTTCCCCCCTCCGCCGACTCAGCAGATTGATTGGTCCTCTTCTCCTAAATCTCATTACTTTCCCTCTAAATCATTGTCAACAGCTTCATTGAAACGTGATTCGTCTGGCGAGAGCGATCTGACAGGACCCCCCATTTCCAAGAAGAAGCGAGTCTTGCCGGCAAGCTTCCGCTCAGAACCTGAACTGAGCCAAGACCCAGGCCCGTTCGATGTCCCTACATACGCCCAACCCACAAAGCCAAAACGCATATGGGAAGCTTCCGCCGAAGCTATCAATGAACAAAAGAAACAGCTCAAGATTCAACAAGCCGCTCGAGCGGATTCCCAAGGCATAGACGAGCAGCCGCTACAGTTCGGGAAAACCCACGATGCCTCCAAAGTCGAAGCTATCCATCTGAGTAAGGAACAGGAACGTGTGCTCGACTTAGTGGTAAATCAGGGCAAGAGCGTGTTTTTTACAGGCCCGGCTGGTACAGGAAAATCAGTTCTGATGAGAGCCATCATCACCCAACTGCGAGCCAAACACGCCCGAGATCGCGAGCGAGTGGCTGTGACTGCCTCAACGGGCCTTGCCGCCTGTAACATTGGAGGAATTACGCTCCACAGCTTTTCAGGTAGGCTTGATGCTGACCTATGCCATGAGCTTCTTGCTGTCGGCTGTTATCGTTGACGATTTAGGCTGACCCTGTTCTACAGGTATTGGACTTGGAAAGGAAGATGCGCCTACTCTTGTGAAAAAAATCAGAAGAAATCCTAAAGCCAAGACTAGATGGCTTCGTACAAAGTGTCTCATCATTGACGAGATTTCCATGGTGGATGGCGACTTGTTTGACAAGCTGTCGCAGATTGGGAGAACAATTCGAAGTAACGGCCGGCCGTGGGGCGGCATTCAACTGGTTATTACAGGCGATTTTTTCCAGCTCCCGCCTGTTCCAGAGAAGGATAAGAAGAGCGAAGCCAAGTTCGCTTTTGATGCTGCTACTTGGACTACATCAATCGACCATACGATTGGACTCACACAAGTGTTCCGTCAGCGAGATCCCGTTTTTGCCACCATGTTAAATGAGATGCGACTCGGGCAGATTAGCCAACAGACAGTGGACACCTTTAAAAAACTCTCGAGACCGCTTGAGTTCGACGATGGCGTGGAATCGGCTGAGCTCTTCCCTACACGAGCACAAGTTGATGGATCCAACGAAAGGCGGCTAAGGGAGCTGCCAGGACGACCGAACCGGTATGACGCTATTGATTCAGGAGCGGTCGCCGTCGAGGTTCGAGACAAGCTGCTGCAAAACATGATGGCTCCAAAATCTATTGAGCTCAAAGTCAATTCTCAGGTCATGCTTATCAAGAACCTTGATGGATCCCTGGTGAATGGATCCCTTGGCACGGTCATTGGCTTCTCTGATGAGAAGTCATTTGACATGTCGGACATGACTGACTATGATGATGGAGAGAACGAAGCAATGGCAAAGGCACGAAAGAAGTTAAAAGCCTTTAGCCGTGAGCCCGAACCAGACGGGTCTGGCATGAAATTCCCCGTTGTCCGGTTCATTTCAACAGATGGCGTGGCACGAGTAATTCTCTGCCAGCCAGAAGAGTGGAAGGTAGAGCTTCCTAATGGCGAAGTCCAAGCCAAGCGAGTCCAGATTCCTTTGATCCTCGCATGGGCGCTCTCCATTCACAAAGCCCAAGGACAGACGCTGGAGCGAGTCACTGTCAATCTGGGTAAAGTCTTTGAGAAGGGACAAGCGTATGTTGCACTGAGCCGTGCTACAAGCCAAGCGGGACTACGAGTTTTGGGCTTTGACAAGAACAAAGTCATGGCCCACCCCCGGGTCATTGTGTTTTACAGGCAGCTCTACAGTGCCGAAGAGGCTGCGTCAAGAAGGCCCAATTCTTTAACGGATTTCATGGCCAATAGAAAAGGCGCCACGAGTGCTTCCGCTTGAGAGATTATTCATCTAGACGAGAAAAAAAGAAAGCGAATTGGCATTTTAGGTCTTTATCATGGCGAATTATAGACCGGCATCATATATAAAAGAATTTGTACTACTAGTGGGTACTGCTGGTGTTGTTGTTATACGATTATATGATTCTCCTCATTGAAAAATATTTAGATCCAGGAGGAAGCTGATTAAGACTCGAATAGAAGGCGGTGATTTTGTAGGTAATCTCCGAATGTCTTGAATCTTGGAGGTAGGCCTATCATGAATTGAATAAGCATATTAGAAATTTTGTTTCTTTTCTTTTCTTCCTGATTTCCAAGAAGTGTGCAGCCAGACTTGCCAGACTTGCCTACTTGAGCCTTGCTCAGTCTTTATTAGCTTGGCGGAAAGATGCAGGGGCATACCTGGAGGTTCAGAACATCGCTGGCCTGTAAAGCGTGCTTGAGAAATCAAGAGATTTGAGTCAGGCCGAGATCTTTCATTTCCTACCTAAGGTAGTCATCTGCCTGCATGTATCACGACATGGGGTGCGGGCTGTATACTAAACAGGCTGTATCTGAAGTAAGTACTAATATAATACTACTGCATGTTTTGGTGGATGCCTACCTGTACCTATACGTTTTCCCGTCATGACTTATTACTGGCCAGAAATGCTTGGAGAGAGTAAACGTCTCTCTCTCTATTTCAGAGAGACTCACGGTGATTTGTACTAGAACAAGAAACCAAGTAACCAATCTGAAAGAACGCTACGGCCATAAGAAAGAAAGATTCTTTATGTCGTATACAATACGGAGTCGGCTCTACAAAGAAATGCTTGTTCAAGACCAGCAGTTCATAGAGATTCAATAAGCAAATTTGTAGGCTGTCTGGACTATGTCTGGTCTTATGCGCAAGATGTCCAACTTAGTAAGAGATTCGTGTGGCTTACTGCACGGGCAGAGATCATGTGCCCATATCACAAACGGTGACGTTCAAGATGCGCCCATGTTCAACGGAGCACCAGCCTCTAAAATCGCGGGCTAGTGGCTGGCCTAGCACCAGCAGTAGTAATATCTGCGCTGCAGGGGGCGAGCAAACACCCCTAATCAGCGCTGCCGGCGCCGTTGCTTTGGGACTTTGAGGTTCCTTTTAGGGTGCTGCAAGGGTTGTTATCGATTATCGGCGACCCGGTTGGGGTTAGTCTGCACCTGCTAGCTTCACCACACCTAAACCGCTTTGTGTCTGCAGCCAAAGGTGCCAGCCAGCATCCATATCGTCTACTAAAAATTATCGTCTTCTCTTCTTACCGCTATCCTCCCCGTAACGTTCAGCTTGCCTCGGCGGAGACGAGGCAAAATTTCGAAGGGTTTGGATTGATATTCTCGAGGCTTTCGACATAATTCTGGCACGTTTCGACGACAATTCCCGGTGCCTGCGCCTGCCTTCGCTGCCGACTGCATCAACTGCGCGCGTGTCCCAAATTCCTTCCGGCGTGGTTGGAGCTGCCTCGGGGCTCTCTCCGCCCACGCGCCTCCGCGATATAGCACTGCTGAGAAAACGCTCACGATCTCGTCGCTAAACGACCTCTCCCACAGACAGCTATTGCAACCTTCAAACGATATCCATTGGGACGGCGACACTCTGCGATCACTTCCATATCACCTGTGGAGTGAGCCTTTGTTATAAGGCGTATCAGGGTGCTGCCTCGTACCTAGATGACGATTTAAAGACCAAAAGGAACATACTGTGGCACTTCACTCCGTGATTGAATCTTCTTTGCTTGCGAGGCGGTACGGCAGGGTTACAAAGATCCAAGTCTTCACTCGCGGATTTGCCTCGAGGTGTCACCATGGCAAGCCAGTTTGCCGGCCTGCACATGCGGGTGGTGCTGAGAGACCCTCCTGGGCACCAGCTCACAGGCACCGTTCGCGATGTACAGGCAGGAAGCAGCCTCACCTTGACAAACGGTAAGCGCGTTTATCACTATGATTTCGAGTTTCTTTCCTAGAATTTTAGAATGGACATGGACATGACTGATTTGATAATCAAGTATTCATTGTTGCAACGCGAGCATGGGTCCCCCATATGCGAATCGATGCCTCCAACATTGCCGATCTCTCAGAAGTCAATTGTGACGACAGGCCAGATCAGAACCCTCTGCCTGCTGAGAAACCTACGGTCTCAACGCACACCGTGCAGCAGCCGCCGAATCAGTTAGCTGCACAGACTGCACAAACTCCGACTCAGCCGGCCCAGGCAGCCTTTGTCGATCCGGCTATTCTGAGTCTAGGAAGACGACCCAAATCAGCTGCGTCTAGCAAACTGAAGAGTGACCCTGAAAAGGCTGCAGACCAAATTGACCCAACAGGACAACCGGAAGTCTTATATGGCATTCATGTGGGGCGGTCATCGGTCGACTCTGGCGACGACAACAACCTGGTGGCGTCGGTGAAGGATTTGAAGATAGACTCAACAGCCACTCCGAAAGGTCTGTCGAATAACAAACCTCGACACGTCAAAGAGGTCTCGGGCACCCCACAGCAACAGCAAAAGAAGAAAGCGCGACGACACCCGAAGGCTCATAGAGAGCATCTAGGCGAAACGCAACCGGCCGTTCAGACGCAAGGACATGGGAAAGGCTGGAGACAGACACCAATCTTGCAGAGCACCGCCTCTTTCCAGCCTTTCACCGCCCTGAGACGAAATGGAAAGAATTCAAAGAGTCTCCTGGACAATGGATGGGCATCGGAGGATGTTACAGAGGAAATGGGCGATTTCGATTTTGAAAACAATCTGGCCAAGTTTGACAAGCATAAGATTTTTGACCAAATGAGGAAGGAAGATACCATTGACGATGCGAGTCGCCTTGTAGCACATAACCGCCGGCCCAAGCCTGGAACGGCGGGCGGCAAGAATCTGCACTACACCGAGAATGTCCTGGATTTGCCCTCCACAACGGCCGCGGCAAACGCAGACTACTGGAATAGTGAAGCAGACGTTGGTGCCAACGGATCAGAGAAGCTAAGCGGGCGAGAACACAAGAATGCCAGCCAAACTGGTCGGAGGCCCGACAGCAAAAATGCTGCTAGGCGCTCCCAGTCCCGCAAAGCAAGCACTGCCGCTCCTGTTGGAAGCCAGCCACTCAGTAGGGTCAACTCTAGTCTGCGGTATCAAGCGTCTCGCCGATCTAGCCCCACGACCGGGCACCGCAGCACCGACTATGAGCAGCAGCAGCAAGAACATCCTGGGCTGTATCTTCTGCCTTCAAATCGACGCGTCGAGACGATATCTACGCTTCAGATGCTGAACATTGAAAACATTGCTGCAAATGAGATTGGATTTAGCGAGACGTTGATGGCGGAAAACGCAGGAAGAGGTGTCGCTGAAGTCGCCGTGGCCGTACTGTCAGACCCTGCCATGAAAGTTCGGTTTGAGATGGTCGTAGCGGGACCTTCTAGCGATGCTTCAGTGCGTTCATCTACCATTGTGATACTTGCGGGCAACCACAAGTCAGGCATTCGTGCGCTAGCTGCTGCTCGCCATCTTCGAAACAAGAATTTTGATGTCGTCGTATGTTTGGTCGGCATTGAGCGCGAGCGAGACTTGCTGGAAGATTTGAAGAGACAGATCCAGCTCTATAGAAATTTTGGAGGTCGGATACTAAGCAAGAACGACTTCTTTGAGTATCTTCGAAAAGGTACCGGAGCGGGTAGTGGCTTATCAATCTCCCTCATCATCGACGCGTTGCTCGGCCTTACTATGTCGTTTGAGGAACTGCGAGTCGGTGACCAAGCATCGGTATATGAATTGATGGAATGGGCGAACCGGAATGACGCATTCGTACTGGCGATAGACATTCCTTCAGGCATTGATCCATCAAACGGTAATGTGGCTATCATCGATGGAAGTCACCTATTTGTCAAACCACGCTACGTCGTTGCCATAGGCGCGCCCAAAAAGGGACTTTTGGAGGCCGTTACGCCACCCCCTGATGATGATACGACCCTGCCAACGAACATTATTCATGAGGACGAGTGGCGGCTGTTTATTGCCGATTTGGGCTTGGGAGGCGCCATCTGGAGAAAGGCTGGCACTAAGATTCGGAAAGGTATCGAGTTTGACGGCAAGTGGGTGCTCGAAATGAAGTATCGCGGTCCTCAGGAGGAAGAGGATGAAGATTAAGGGGCGGAAAATAATGCATATACATATGGGCAATAAAGGGGGGATTACGACTTTATTTTAGAGAACACAACAAAAAGGGAAAAGACACATGAAGAAAGGGATATACCTATGAAACGAGGATATGAGTCGAAAAGGATCGGTTTGGCCACGCAGGATGGCTCGTGAGAGGCTGGTATTTGAGGTTTTCAAGAATAATAGGAAGAAAGAAGGATGCAGTAAAAGGATCATACTAATAGCGAAATGTACATTATTACAACTCAGCATCAAGAGGTGTCAAGAGGGGATCGATGATTCTCTGTTCTGACAGAATGAATATATTCTAGCTTTACTCCATCGGCGCAACAGTATATATATGTGTGTGTGTATATATATAAGCACGAAATGGAAGGGACGAGACTTTCTTTTGGTGAGGATTTAGAGTATGCGCGCCAAGACTGCGGGTTTGTGGAGACAAGCTTTTGCCAAGACCAGCGCAGACAGGCATGTGAAGAAACTCAGGACTCTTTATCTCTCATTTGCTGTGAATTTCCCCGAACGCTTCTTTAGTGCTTCTTTTGCGATTCCATTTTGAGGGGGCCATGGCAAGAAGAATTCGACAAGAGGCCCCTTTTTCTTGGCAGTATAAGTCGCGTGAGTATTTGGCCTCAAGCCTTTTATACCACTTTTGTCAATTGGTACCGCAGTATTGGTATTGCTAGTAGCAGAGTATCTGGAGTATTATCCGGCAGGTTGGGAAGCATAGAGGCTACCTTACTTTCTATTCGCAGTTACTCCGCATTCCACAGCGGGCAAATGGGCGACAAAAGTTCGCGGCGCGGCGCAGCCCCGACTTCCTGTTTGGTCTTTATGTCGGAATTGGACCTCTGGATGGGTATAATTTGTGGTCGGAACACGTGGAATGGCAAAGTCTTTTTTGTGGGATGGGGAGCAGAATTAGCGGCCTGTCAGTTTCAGCTGTCAAGAGGATTGCTGTGACTTGGTAAACTCTATCTGAGCTGCGTATTCTGAATACGAACAGTCTCAGCCTACAGATACGACGAAGTATTGAATTCGCGACTCACAGCAATGTTTCACATTGGTCTTCATCGGAATTACTAATACTAGCTCAAAGTATGGAGCCGTGCCGATGCTTTATTGGACACACTGTATGCTGCACCATGTGCTGCTCTCTGCGCCCATTGGCCCGGGCCCTCTGCAGCGCCCCAATCCCCCGCAGCCCCCAAAAGGCACCGCACCACGTTGTGCCGCCACCGCGGCCAGTAGCGACACAGTGCACGCCACGCGACCCGGCTGCTTGTTCTTCAGCGAGTAAGTCGCAGCACTAGACCAACTCCTCTCTCTCTTCTTTCCCCCAAGATTGATTCCCCCATTACTTTTTCTGACTGTTGAATTTCGCCGAGATCGATCACAAGAGCTTAATCAAACGTACAAGGCTAGGCGAAACAGAAGAGACGGATCTTTGGACACTTACTCACGAGGGTACTGGTGTCAGTGCACGCGGAAGCCCGGAGACTGGACGAAATTACAGGCCTTTTTTTTCCCGCCTATATTGTTACAAAGCTGCGCCACCGGTTGTTATGACGCTCGATTGTCTCGCGCTCGCCTGAATTCGGTAGCGATTTCACGATTCGCCCTTTTTTTGACTTGCACAGGGACGCTCTGGTAACGTGGCGCCTTTCGCTACGGAGATTCGATTTGTCCTTACTGGCGCTGTCTTGGGTCGGTTCCGTCAGCGTGTCTTAGATTGAGATTTGTGAGATTTGCCTGCACGAAGCACGCCGCCTATCGAGCGAAACCGAAGCGAAACGAAATACCGAGGAGAGGAGGCAGCTCAGCTCAACTCAGTTCAGCTCATTTCCTCCTCCGACACCATTTTCCATGGCGATCCCGCGATAAGGTCCGACTGGCACCCTCTCCTTTTCTCGTCGCCGTCTCGCCGGTTGACTCTCTGACGAAATCGACGAGCCTCTTTCTTGAGATCCCGATCTTGGTTCCGCTTCCATCCAACCATGTCGGTGACGTCCATGGCCGCCCATCATGTGGCCGCTCTCGCGGCTACGTCGTCCCTCGAGGCGTCGATGGCGCTGTGCACCAGCACGTGGCTGCCGGCGAACGGAATCCTCTCCCTGAGCGGAGAGTCGGATAATGCCATCCTGACGCTCGACAACGACGCCCTCTTCCAGGCACCGTGTCCGACGGCGACAATACCGACAGTCTCCGTTGCGGTCCCGGAAAGCACCAGCACCGGCGACGGAGACTCGAGCCTGACTCTCCAGGACCTCGGAGATGACGGTGATGACGATGACAGCCCGCATTTTTCCGATTTCCGAGACCCCTTCTACGCTTCGAGTTTTCCCATCTGCTACGCCCTCGCAGCGACTACCGTTACCGCCTGGATGCTCGTGATTATGCTTTTTATAACGCCAAGGTCTTTCTTCGATAGTGGCGTTGTCTACCTTGGCCGGCCCGGTGGCTTTACCAATTCTTCCTCAGGGGGCGTCAATATCGGTGGGCGGCCTTGGTTGCAGAAGCTGGCCGCCTTGTCAGTTGCGATATCTCTCACGATAGCCACGTCTGACACTTTCCGGATCGCCAAAATACAGTACATATGGGGCGTGCAGAATGCAAAAGTGCTCCAGAACGAGGTCATGGGGAGTACGGAGCTCAGGGCGATCCGCGTGGTGTCCGACACCTTTCTTTGGCTCGCGCAGGCGCAGACGTTGATCCGGTTGTTCCCGCGTCACCGCGAGAAAATCATAATCAAATGGGCTGCTTTTTTCCTCATCAGTCTCGATGTCATTTTTAGTGCCCTAAACAGCTTCTTATACTCGGATCCGGACAGCAATGGCAATTCTATGCCCAAAAGTTTCAGTCATCCCATCCCGGCGCTTAGTTACTTGTTTCAACTGGCCCTTGGAGTGCTGTACGCTGCCTGGGTTGTGTACTACGCAATCATGAAGAAACGATATGCTTTCTATCACCCCTTGATGAAGAACATAAGTCTGGTGGCCATTATTTCTCTGGGTGCCATATTAATACCAGTTGTGTTTTTCATACTTGATATATCGAAGCCTGAGTTTACAGGCTGGGGAGACTACGTGCGATGGGTCGGTGCGGCAGCGGCTAGTGTGGTGGTTTGGGAATGGGTGGAGCGAATTGAAGCCTTGGAGCGAGAAGAGAAGAAGGATGGAATACTTGGAAGAGAGGTGTTTGACGGAGATGACACGCTGGAAGTTGATGCGGCAGATGTCCCCTGGTCGCGGAAGAGAAGAGGATACAAAGCAAACGGCGGGGATGGCCGAGGCGTCATTATCACGGCGAGAGAGCAAAGACCAAATGAAGGCAACGGATGGCCAGGAGTGTCAGTTATCAGCAGTCGCCATCGTGAGCGGGAACGAAATACCGGCCGCGGCCGTGATATGAGCGAAACTAGTGGTGCAGAGGTGGAGAGGACATCAGGGCACATTCTAAGACCACCAGTTTGGCTCTCACGACCTGCTCCAGCCGTGACGCCGGCCAGCAGGACCGATACGACAAGTGCTGCTAGCACTGTCTACGCGGTGAGATACCAGAGAGAGCACCCGCAGCCTAGGCCGGATATTTCAAGATCGGAGAGCCACAACCACAGCCGCAGTCCTGCCGTGGAAGATGCGATTTCGACAAATCAAGCACCTTCATCCATCTCTCCGGGCGATTCTCCAGCGAGTCATATTGTGATACAAGAACCAAGGGTACCGGATCTGGAAGCGAATTCTTCTTCTGGTGGTGGGGGTCGCTGGCAGACACTGCTTCGTCGTGGGAGCCATGGCACCACGTCAACACCGCAATCTCCTAGAGCTTATTCCGATGCACGGTCTGCTGCTACTTCAAGAGGCCATATGGATACCAACCGGTGGGATATACGAAGCAGATTAGAAGAATTTGCAGCCAGCCAAGCAGAGAGGATTCGGGAAAGACTCCGGCCCACGACAGATACGGACAACCTCCCCGTGATGGTGATACCAGCACCAGCACGGCGAGGCGCGGCGCTGCAACAGGTTCTCGAGGAAGAGGGAGAAGATTTAAGCGGTTCAGTGGCATCGGCGTTGCGACGGGCACGAGGATCTAGCAGTAGCTCATCTTCTGAAGAGATGTACGAAGCCAGGAGACGAAATCACATGGGCCCTGGCGTGTATCCCACGGCAAATGCGGCGGCTTCAGCGTACGAGCGACCGATACCGCCTAGCAATCCGCCTTTATGGCCGGGAGTGCGAAATCGGTACCTCTACGACGACGATTACTCGTATGATGATGATTCTGTGACGGAGACTTCATCTGTGATATCTCGCGATCATAACCCTGATGAGCCGGACACTGGGCAAGAGGACAGGAGTACAATACCACCGAGAGAACCGGGGCCGTCTTAATGCATAAGAGACCCAGCTTCCTCTCTCCTTTCTTCTAGGTGCTTTTTGTCTTTAAGCGTGGCGTTTTCTTCTTCTTGGATTTGAGATTAAAAATAGCGGACAGTTTTATGATTGAGATGTATATGTATGAGTATATATGGAAATTATTGAGAATAGGTAGCTATACCCCGGAGCCCTCTTGGGGCGATGTACAAACGGCAGATGAGTGATATCATGGAGAGGAGGATGATTAAAAAATAAATTGTTTGATATGAATGAATTTTTAATAAATGAGCTATATATTCTACCTATGAGCAATATATGAAGATAGGTTTGCTTGACACTTATGATTCTGATGTTGTTTGTATTCGGATTCGTGATATCTAATCTTATGGTGTTCTACCACTCCTACTGCTTCTTTCTGCTGCTTCTGCTGCGTCTTGAGTATCAAGAAAAAGCACCTTGCTTGCCATCATCAAATTACAAAGAGAATTGTAGGGACTCGATAACTCATATTCGACGTAAAATCGAATGGATACCGTTTTTCTACATCGCGTGAAAAAAAAAATCGTCACGAGTTGCATACGCAGAAAGAAAATCCCATGTTTGGTAGGTGTACTCCGCATTCCAGACAAATTATTGCGAGCACACTACTTGTATCACGCGGACCAAAATAACCAAGTTCCTTGCTTGAGTTTGCGGGCGGTTTTTGCAGCTAACAGCTTCAGCGATTTACTGTCTACTAATTAAAGGGTCTGATTCCAAATGACTGCAATTAATCGTCGCTTCTTAGGACGGCACTGTCGTCAACACCGATCATGTCACCACGTCACCACTACTAATTGGAGTTCGTGATAAATCATGCTCCGTATCCCGCCTTCGGACTACGGGCTACTACTAACCGATCGTGCGTGGTGTACGTCGCAACGCTCCGTGTACGTATTACGACGGTGCTTACAAAAAAAACATGGATAACCCACGGGGGAAAAAAAAAAGGATTCTCACTTCTGCCGAAGTTACAGTTTTCCAATCAGATACGCGTAATGCTAATAGAGTTCACGGAGAGCGGAACAATGAAAGAAAAAGTGACAGGCCAGCCGCCAGCCAACGCAAAGAAGAAAACAGACAATCACTAGAAAGGAAAATTGCCAGGGGAGACCCTCGCTTCCCGAATGGGACTAACAGGGTCCTTGGACGCAAGGGTTTTTTTTTTTTTGTTGCGTCTGGCGGGCCTGAAAAGAGTCTAAACCGCGTGCATGGCTGGCTGTCAGGGGTTATGGCGGATGGCTTTTGTGGGCTTTGGAGGGCATTTGGTCCAGTGAGGAGGCGGGAGAGGCATGTTGGACGAGATTAAAACAGGATCCCAGCTTTTCAGCGGTTGTGGTTGGTGCTTGGGTGGCTTGCTTGGCTGCTTATCTCATGTTTTGCTTGTTGGATAGAGGAGTTGGCGGTTTGTAGATGGAAAGGGTGATCGATGTATATCATTGAATTGGAAAGCTGTGGTGAGTTGTGATGGTAATGCCGCGAGCAGTCTCCTTTAGGTAATCCGCTTGCTATTCATAGATCGCGGTGCTAGCTTGGTGATGTGTTGCAAGTACCTACGTCGTGCTACATCTACTATAGATAAGCAGCGCACCGGCATAGTACAGCAGTACACGTATTCGTGTCACAACATAAGACGGGAGCAGGTACTACAAGTATACATGTGTGATGATAGCCTCGTTGTAGCACCTTCAACAAGTTCAAGTAGCAAAAGTACCAATAGACATTGAGCAGTTATATAGTACCCTACTACCTTACCTGAAATAGACTTATAAGCTGATACTGTAATGCCAAGAACAAGTGCGTGCATTTTCAGCGCTCCTGCCATTTCGCCCTAGAACAAGTTCATTTTTTTTTCTTGTTAGCGGCACCTGCCCCAGCTGCGATGTTGGTACCGCCTACCTCGCAGCATCTCCCTTTCGCCGCGCTTGTCCTGTAGACGGTACTTTGCTTTCTAGCTAGGTGCGGGATTACAGGATTTGTTTGTGCTTGTGTCCAACTCCACCAAACGCTTCTTTTTCTCTTCTTCTCTCCCTCGTCTCCAGTATCCAACGCGGCACAAACATTCATGTTTGATCATCCACTGCATGCATGACCGCTTATCCCCCTAATCTGGGGCCCGATCACACACGACACACGACACCACTCGTCCGTCCACCTCACCGAGCGTCGTCCTGTTTTTCCCTTTAGGCCTTTCCTCTCCTATCTTGCGTCTCACGCTTCTACTTCGGAACCTCGTCAAAGTCCGAGAACCCACGGTCTCGCCGTCTCTGCTCCTCTCCTACGTCTTTGCCTGCTACGCCTTATAAGGGCTCTACGGCCAAGCTGTCCTAGCTGTCCTAGCTGTCTCTGTTGACTCTCTAGCAAACAGACCGCCATTTTTTTTTGTTCCGGCGGTTGGCCCACGCGAGAATCGACCCAAACCGAGGCTCACTAGCACGAATTGTGAGACGAGACAAAGCGGATAATCCACGCGAGTCGCACAGAGAGCTGATCCTCTCCCCCCACACCACCAATCAATTGCGCTTGCGCGCCGCGACATAGACAAGGGGGGGAAACAGAAGGCCAACGATCCTAATTGGAGTGGTGGCAGCTCTGTTATTACCTGCCGTTTGTCTCCTTTTATCCTCCTGCTTTCTCCAGCGTCCTACAAGCTCTCATCTTTCTTCGGCCGATTGAGCTTCTGCCGTTTGTTCTTGCGAGGCGGCAGGTCACATTCCCAGGCGCAACTGTCTCAAAGGGGCCAAAGTGGAATTTTCCTCGAGCTACACCACAGCTACACCACAGCTACACCACTTTTCCGCATCCAAGACATACAGACCACGCTTCGAGCACAATGGCGGGGGTAGAGCCTTTCCCGCTGCTCAACACGTCGGCAGACCAACTGCTCGGCGCTGACGTCAACCCGGCGAGGCGCAGGCGCAAGAGCAGTGGCCTTGGGGGAGAGATTCGGGCTGGTGACACTGGTGCGCCCGCGCTGGCGTCCAGCCGAGTCAGTCTCAATGCCCAAGACTCTGAGGTGAGATTGTCGTTCCTGATTCTTCTGCTTTGGAGCTAACCGTCGCAACTCGACAGAACTACTCATCCGAGAGCTCAGAAGATCATTCTGGCAATCCTAGGCCTTCGAAGCGCCGTCGCGCTCGTGGATTTTTCTCGCAAGCTCGCCAGACCATGGTCAAGCACACCTTTGTCTTGCCTGCCGTCTTACTACTCCTGTTCCTGACTGGTTACGCCATCAACCCATCGGAAGCCAATCCCCTCCACCACTTCATCTTTCTGTCGTACCCGATCCCCCAGGATGATCCCCTCAAGCCTATCCAGTATGGCAAGGGCAAATGGGACATTGCGTTTGTCGCCTTTTACACCATTGTCTTGTCCTTTACTCGTGAGTTTATCATGCAGGAAGTGTTGCGTCCGCTAGCCCGCAGAACGGGTCTCAGCAAGGGAAAGCAGGCCCGTTTCATGGAACAGGTGTACACAGCCCTATACTTTGGCATTTTGGGACCTGCTGGCATGTACGTCATGAGCCGCACGCCTGTTTGGTACTTCAACACACGCGGCATGTATGAGGGTTTCCCGCATCGATCGCACGAGGCCGTTGTCAAGTTTTACTACCTCTTCCAGGCTGCCTACTGGGCCCAGCAGGCCATCGTCCTCCTCCTGGGAATGGAGAAGCCGCGCAAGGACTTCAAGGAGCTCGTCGGTCACCACATTGTCAGTCTAGCTCTTATCGGCCTGAGCTACCGCTTCCACTTCACCTACATTGGTATTGCTGTCTACATCACCCACGACATCAGTGACTTCTTCCTCGCCTCATCCAAAGCTCTCAACTACATCGACCACCCCATCGTCGCTCCTTATTTCGCCACTTTTGTTGCCGTTTGGATCTACATGCGCCACTACATTAACCTCAAGATCATCTGGTCTCTGTTCACCGAGTTCCGTACCGTCGGCCCCTTTGAGCTCAACTGGGAGACCCAGCAGTACAAGTGCTGGATCAGTCAGTATATCACCACTGCCCTGCTTGCTTCCCTTCAGGCCTTGAATTTGTTCTGGCTTTTCTACATCCTGCGTATTGCCATCCGATTTATTCGCGACAAAGAGGCCACTGATGATCGATCTGATGAGGAAGACGATGAAGAAGAGGAACAACAGAAGAAGCCCACTTCAAGCAAGCACAACGGAAAGAAGGACATTCCCAAGCTCGAAGTTCACTACGAGCACGATGAAGATAAGCAGAATGGTTCTGCTAAGCACTAGACGGTCAACATCCATGTTGGCAATGAGTTGAAGAAAAAAAAACGCTGGGTGTGACATGCACAATTCAGACAGCAAAGCAAGCGGATTTGCACGGGTGCAATTTTAATCGAATAATGATGAGAAGCTTTGTTGAGCTGCTCCTTTTTTGTCTTTACATCTTTGGGGCTATATTACCTGCGTGTGATTTACACAACAACGGGTCGAGCCGGATGGGGAGCAACGTGAAGCATGGGAAACGGCGTACTCCCTTTTTTTTTTGACACGGAAAAAGGGAAAAAAAGAAGAAATGGCTTGGGCTAATACTAATTTTAATTTTATGATGAAACTTTCTTTTTCATACTTGATTCTCGACTCCTGATGCATTGTCCGTCAAAACGAACGATTCAATATGGCTGCGGGTACCCTGGGATGAGCAATCTATCTGTTTTTAGCAAATGGAGGTTTTCGTAAATGATGCAATGAATGTGATTGGGAAATCATTCAAATCCCATTGATACGTTGTTATATATCTCCTTCTTTTCGATTTTTTTTTTCTATAACTTTCTTTTGGGGATCAAGAGGCTTTTCTTTAAAATATACTTAGATTGGGTCGAGCCTGGTGGCTTTCGAGTCGGATTGAAATGAGGTTGTCGGCGAGGGGCCGTTGCAAGATTTCTTCCTATTTTATATATATAGAAATGAAGCATTGCGTGATAATCCATTTTAACTAATCACTCCATGAATACTATCTATCAAGAGCTGCAATACAATACAATTTGTCCATATATTCAGTATCATAATATCTAGAAAGTCTCGCGCACTGTGTTTTGAGACAGAAGCTGTTGTCAACCGCAATCAGTAGACTTTAACGACTTCTGTCTCAAAACAAATTCGTATGATCACAACAAATTCAATTGGCCTCAACATCATAATGTCATATTATAGCACCACCATTCCGAATAGCAACTGTCTATCCTCCAGTCGCCTTTACGACACCAGCTCTTTGTCCCCATGGGCAATTTATGGGTGGGATACGAGCACTAGACATTCACGCCTACACTTGGGAGCAAGTTTTTTTTTTTTTTTTTTTTTTTTTGCCAAAATTGTTTTCTGAATCTACCTAAGTTATCGAGGCTGCCCCATACTTCTAGTAAAATGGTCAGATTTCCCGGTGTCTGGTAGGCCCGATGAGTTGAATTTTTTTCTTGTCTGCTTTTGTTGGTTTTGTTTTCCATCCTGGAGACCTTTGTCAAAGTCGTCTCTCAGCTTCCCTGAGGAAGAATCCCAAAAAAATGTATGTTAAGACCAGTCACCATTTCGCACAGACCCAAAGTGTGAACCCTTCTTTACCAGGTTCCGGATATCCTTCCAGTCCATTGGGTGTTAATTGTTGAAAGAAAATAAAGAGATGAGAAAAAAGCAAAGTCGTATAGTCGTTGCCCGTAATCAGGTCGAAGTCCCGTAGGCCTCGCCAAGGTGGCATCCATAATCACAAGTCCTCCAAGACAAAAAAGAGCAAATCTGTCATCGACATGTCCACCAGGTTCATCAGTAAATCTCCCCTTTCAATGTAATGTCCCTCCTTCAATCTCTCCATGGCAAGGAGATGGTTTCATAAGCCCAAAGGCTCAGAAAATAAACAGTTGCTGTACCAGTCGAATGTCCTTCTCACATCTCTAGATATTGGATACCGATGCATCTTAGTCAAACAGCGACCAGCGAATGGAGTACATTCAAGACACATTCGACAAAAGACGTAAAAAATGAGATGTAGAGTCGATACAAAAAACAGTGGTAAAACAACACACATTATATGTCTCCGCGTGTAAGTTGCGGCTAGATCTCGTCTCTCTCGGAAGATGCAAAGGTGTATTATTAAGTCCGGCCCTGTGGCGGTAAGATGGCAACAGATTGGTAACTGCTAGATCCGAATGTCTGTGCCTAAAATCGTCGTCGTAAAATAGAAAAAATAACAGAAATAGATAGAAAGGCGTCACCGTAGTATTGAAAATTCTAGTCTCAATCAATCAATAGTATGCTCTGGGCGAGTAGATTCGAAGAAGATCAGAAGCCAGGTGGACTGTCCAGGCTCCAAAGGAACGGGATAATCAAAGTTGGCTTGCTAAGAGTGATGCATATGTTCCTTATGCTGTGTAAATGAAATAATATGTCGAATAGAAATGACGAGGATCGATATCCTTTTCCGCCTGAACGCCCGAGTGATGCAGTCATCATGCTAAGCCTAGAAATTAAGTTCGATAACCGAATGCCAAACAAAATATTGAATAGGCCTGCCGTTTTTCTGTTCCTTTTTTTTTTCTTCTTTTATAGTAGTCGCAAAGGTGAAGTAAATGAAGTGCAACTGGCGTATTACTCTGGGCCAGTTTTGTGGATATCAAAATGAGGTGGAAAGGCGAGAAGCAAATGATTCTAAGAAGAAACGTAGCCTCTTCATGTATGATCGCGTCTGGCCTAGTCTCGAGGCATTTGATGCCCAAGGCAGTAGACATGACTATAATAGCCAAACTGACTGAAGAAGTCTAGGAATCTAATCCCGATTATTGCGAGGCGGCTCCTGTTCATGAGTCGATTCGTTGTCGGAAGAAGAGGCGGAAGGATGAGCTTCGCCATCGCCATGCGGCTGGGAGTTATCGCTAAGCAATTCAGTCGCAGACCCGTGACTCTCGTAGCCGTCCATCTGGGTGCCAGACTTGTTCTTGCCATCCATGTTAGCAGCTTTCAAGGCTTTTTTAGCCTGCAGAGACGCTTCTCTAGCGACGGTCAATGCGCGCTCAGCCGTTACTTGCTTCTTCCACATCGAATGGTACACGCCCTTGGCATTGAGAAGATCCTCGTGGTTGCCACGCTCGACGATCGTTCCAGCGTGCAGCACAATGATTTGATCGGCATGGGTGATGGTAGACAATCGGTGTCTGTAGAAAGGTGAAAACTGCGTGTTAGCTTTAAATCTGTAATCTAGGGCTTGAACAATAGTTCTAGACGGGGGACACTTACGCAATAATGAGCAGGGTGCGTCCTTGGCCGATGTTGAGAACGTTTTCTTGAATTTCCTGTTCCGTGTGCGAGTCGAGTGCAGAAGTAGCCTCATCCAGCATGATAACTCTAGGATCCTTGAGGATGGTACGAGCGATAGCAACTCGCTGCTTCTCACCGCCGCTGAGTCGCAGTCCGCGTTCTCCAACCTGCGTGTTATAACCATCAGGGAATGACATGATACGGTCGTGGATGCTAGCAGCCTTGCAGGCGGTGTAAATCTCTTCGTCACTCGCTCTAGGGTTGGCATATCTGAGATTGTACATGAGCGTCTCGTTGAAAAGAGTCGTATCTTGAGGAACAACGCCGATATGGCGACGAACGGAGCTGATTGTGAGATCTTTGACGTTTTTGCCGTCGAATTCAATGCTGCCCTCGTCACAGTCATAGTAGCGGAACATGTGTCGGAACAAGGTAGACTTGCCACCGCCAGACTCGCCAACAAAGGCTGTTGTAGTTCCCGGAGCGCATTCAAAGCTGACATTGCGTAGTGCAGGCCTTCGGGGGTCATAAGCGAAGCTCACATTATTCCATCGGACGTGTCCACTAAAACTTTCCAGTTCGACGGCATTGGGAGAATCAACAACGGTTGGCTGGATTTTGAAGAGCTCCAAGAGGCGCTCGCCAGATATCATGGCCTGCTGGACGGTGCGGTAGAAAGAGCCAAAGAAATTGAGAGGACCTTGAAGCTGGGTCAGGTAAGAGACGACTGTGAACCAGTCACCGGTAGTTCGCATGCCAGCCGTGACCTGCCAGCCGCACACTATGGCAGCGACAATTCTGCCCAAATTGAAAACAAAAGTCTGGCAGATATTCATGAGGACCATTCCCGTCTGGACTTGGGCCTCGGCCTTTTGGAAAACCTCAACCTTGGCACGGTATCGGTTGGATTCGTATTCTTCTGCGTTGAAGTACTTGACCGTCTCATAGCTAGAGATGGAGTCGTTCTTCACCGCTTCCTCTTCACGATCGGCATTGGTCATCTCTCGTCGTTGATCGGCTCTAGTGGCGGCCATCTTGATGGTCATGTAGAGATACCAGCAAGTGTCCACCAGATTCAGTTGAGCGTAGAGGGGACCGAAGTTGAAGTAGAAGACGGAAATTGAGAGGAACAAGTCGAAGAGCATGGGGATGACCTGGAATGTCACCTGTTCGAGAAATGCGTTGATGGCAGAGCCCTTGTTGAGAGCAGAGAGAACTTCGCCAGTGCGTTTCGACAGGTGGAAATCGAGGCTGAGAGAGTGGACGTGGTTAAAGGCCGCCGCCGTCAATCCTCGATACGAGTACTGCGAAACAGGAATCCAGAGAAGAGATCTCAGGGAGCCGAGAAGACCAGACTGGCCTTGAAGCACCCAGAGAACACCCAAGATGAGGAAATCCTTGAGGGGAAAGTTTTCAGTGGTGATGGGGTCGCCGCTTCTGATGACAGCTTCTAGCTTGTTGACGACTTTGCCGATCTGCCATGGAACATAGACGTTGACCAATCGCTGGATGATGACTAAAACGAAGCACAACATTACCTGGAGCTGCAGCTTGGTAGAGTCTTTGGGCCAGAGATAGGGGAAGAAGAGAGAGTAGCCTCTGACGTATTCCCACCAGGTCTTGTGAGGGATCTTCTTTTGTCGATAGAAGGCAGCCTGTTCATCTTTGCGAGAGAAAGATCCTCCCGTAGGCTTGGCTGCGTTGGAGATGGTTCTACCACGGGATCGTCGGCCGTTAGCCTCGGGAGTGGTGCTCTGTCTGGCGTCATAAGATCGAGTCTGTCCATTAAGCAGCAGAGGCGTGGTCTCACTGATGCCGCCAAGTCCCTCCTCAACTCTATCTGGGACGTGAGACTTGAGAACCCAGGCAACGCAGAAGAGGGAGATGGAAATGCCTATGGTCAGCAAGCGAACAAAGTAGAGAACAAGATCGAGCTTTGTCCATGAATCAATGCAGCTGTCGTGCTTGGTCTGGTCGTTGTCGTC